AGCAACCCAAAGCATATGTTAAGAGTCACCTCTTAATCAATTGGATGTTATTGCTTGACAATAACCTTTTTTGGTAAGTGTGGATACAGATGCCTTACCATTTAAATGGCTGAAAGTGTACCCCTGTCCATATCTACTTAGAAGCCAGTCCTGCTATGATCAATGATCAATGGAACTTATTGATGATCAAATATTAAGAGTGCAATCTATAAGGCTTCCACAGGATTGAATTCCACTGAGTTCTGTAGAATATCACCCCAGGGAACAATTGCAAATTTGCAAGATCTGATACACTGGGTGTCAACGCTGCTAATATTGAATATTCTTGCTTTGACAAAATATGCAGAACTGTCTGGTATTTTTAAGAGTTAATTCAGATGACAGAGAAAAGGGAGGAGATTAGTAAGGAAAGCCTGGGAAAAGGAACGGAAGGGAATCTTTGCCCTCCAGATTAATTGGAAGATGTGAATCAAGATGACCCCAAAATAGGGGAGGGGAAATGCTTGGAATGTTATGTGCAAAGGGAAGGGAAATTCAGATCTTGGCATCCATCATGCCGTGCTGACACGCCTCTACACTAATAAAGGCTTTTTTAGGTTAAGCCATGCCTGAAAGTTCTTTGAAGTGTTTCATTAGTCAGACACATGACACTGGGACTGCAATTGATTCAGAATAACAGAATAACAGGGTTTGAAGGGACTTTAGAGGTCTTCTAGTCCAACCCCCTGCTCAGGCAGGAAACCCTATACCATTTCAGACAAATGGTTGTCCAATCTCTTCTTGAAAACTTCCAGTGTTGGAGCATCCACAACTACTGGAGGCAAGTCGTTCCACTGATTGTTTTAACCAGGGGTCTTCAAACTTGGCCCTTTTATGACTTGTGGACTTCAACTCCCAGAATTACTCAGCCAGCATGCCTGGCTGAGGAATTCTGGGAATTGAAGTCCACAAGTCATAAAAGGGCCAAGTTTGAAGACCCCTGGTTTTAACTGTCAGGAAATTTCTCCTTAGTTCTAGGTTGCTTCTCCCCTTGATCAGTTTCCATCCGTTGCTTCTTGTCCTGCCTTCAGGTGCTTTGGAGAATAGCTTGACTCCTTCACCAACTTATAAATCTTCACCAAAAGTCATTTAGCTTATTTTAAAGAAATCCTTTAATTCTTTTTCAGGATCGACTTAAAAGACCACGCAAGACAACTGCACATATTTTAAATACATTTCCTGTTTTAATAACATACAGTGTTTATTAAAGATTAAAAGAGTTTAATTCAAAACTCAGTACCAGTTGATAAGTAGACACTAACATGTTTTGTGGTGGTAACATCCAGCAAAAACAAAGGTCAGGTTATACACAGCATAAAGATGCCTTTTGCCGAAATTTACACCTGATGAAAGAATTGGTCCCCTTGACGTTTATCTCTGTATCTTTCTGGCTCTTCTCGCCATCAAATTCCAGCAAATCATATCAACTGGAAGCAACTGATTACTGCATTGTTTTTACTTTGTCATTTTTGCCACCATCAGCATTCGGAGTGGCAGAGTATCTTCCACCCAAGTGTTGGGAGAGTTGATCATTCTTTCCCATAGGTTGGCTTCATCTAATGTAGAATCCATCCAATCCACTGGAACGCCATAGCTTTTGCCTAATAAAGGGTTTAAATAAATGAAATTAACAGCAAATATCAATTAGTTATTTGCACGGTAATGCAGGATGTCCTCAACTTACAGCCATTTGTTTAGTGACTGTTTGAAGTTACAATGGCTCTGAGCAAAGTGACTTATAAACATTTTTCCACACTTCCGGGGGGGGGGGGAAGAGAAGAAAGGAAGGAAGGAAGGAAGAAAGAAAGAAGAAAATGAATGAAAAAGAGGGAAGGAGGAAGGAAGGAAGGAAGGAAGGAAGAAGAAAATGAATGAAAAAGAGGGAGGGAGGGAGAGGGAGGGAGGAAGGAAGGAAGAAAGAAAGGAAGGAAGGAAGGAAGGAAGGAAGGAAGAGAAAGAAGAAAATGAATGAAAAAGAGGGAGGGAAGGAGGGAGAGGAGGGAAGGAAGGAAGAAAGAAAATGAATGAAAAAGAGGGAGGGAGGGAGAGGAAGGAAGGAAGAAAGAAAGAAAGAAAAAAGAAAGAAAAAAAAGAAAGAAGAAAATGAATGAAAAAGAGGGAGGGAGGGAAGGAGGGAGAGGAAGGAAGGAAGGAAGGAAGAAAGAAAGAAAGAAGAAAATGAATGAAAAAGAGGGAGGGAGGGAGGGAGAGGAAGGAAGGAAGAAAGAAAGGAAGAAAGAAAGAAAGAAAGAAAGAAAAAAGAAAGAAGAAAGAAAGAAAGAAAGAAAGAAAGAAAGAAAGAAAGAAAGAAAGAAAGAAAGGAAAGTGATCGAAATTTGTACCTGTTCCAAGTCCTATTCTAAGTCCTCCCAGGAAATGGTTGGCAAGTTTATTATGATCCCAGACAGTAAGTTCCACGCATGCTTCTTTCAAGTCTTTCGGTCGGAAGCCATCGTAAACCATGGTGTGGTTGAAGATCGGATCTGTCGTCTTCGAAACGGCTCTGGTTTTCTGACGGCTCTTTCGACTTGTATCCGGAAGAACGGTACTTTGGAGAACAGGGGCAAAAGAAAGGATAACAAACACACTTTAGATCAGGTATCCAACCTAAGCAACTTTAAGACCTCTGGACTTCAACTCTCAGAATTCCTCCGCCAGCCATGCTTGAAGTTGCCAAGGTTGGACACCCATGATTTAGATGTATACTTTACAACAATACTACACGAGACAGGTAAAACTTAATAAAAAAGTTATTATTAACATAATAGTTATGTTATTATTAAAACATCCTGACGTTCTTTGCGATTCCATGGCGATTTTTCAACTGTTCTACTACAGTATGACATGACTGAAAGACTATGTTGGACAACTTTGAGTGGAGAATTTCCAACCACACCCAATGAGTTGTGTTCCAAAACGCAGTTGTCACACTGGTACCTCTTGGGCACATTCACTATACTTAAAAAGGTGACAGTAAAGGTATCCTCTGTCCAGTCCTGTCCTACTCTAGAGGGCAGTGCTCATCTCCACTTCCTAGCTGAGGAAACCAGCGTTGTCTGAAGAATGCTGTGACCTTCCCACCGAAGTGGTACTTATTTATCAAGAACTGTGGTGACATAGTGGTTTGAATGCAGTACTGCAGGCTACTTCTGCTGACTGCCGACTGCCAGCAGTTCGATTCTCACCGGCTCATGGTGGACTCAGTTTTCCATAATTCCAAGGTCAGTAAAATGAGGACCCAGATTGTTGGGGAAAATATGCTGACTTTGTAAACCGCTTAGACCAGTGGTGGCAAACCTATGGCACGGGTGCCAGAGGCGGCACGCAGAGCCCTCTCTGTGGGCACGCACGCCGTCGCCCCAGTCCTAGGCCTTCAGCTGGGTTTTATAAAACCTTTTCGCTTTAGGCCTCCGCCGCCGGGTACAAAAAAAAAAGGTTCAATCAGTCAATTTCAACTTCTCGCGGGAAAAAAAAAATCTTGCAAAGTTGGAATTGATTGATTGAACTTTTTAGTCCCACCCAGTCTGCCGTTACCACCACAGCCACACCCACCCAATGGGCCCCACCCAATGGGCCACACCCACCCAGCACCCGACGATGCATAAGTGGGTTTTGGGTTGCAGTTTGGGCACTCGGTCTCTAAAAGGTTTGCCATCACTGGCTTAGACAGAGGGCTGTAAATCACTGTGAAGCGGTAGATAAGTCTAAGTGTTATTTCTATTGCTACTCACAGTTGTGTGCTTTCAAACTGCTAGGTGGAGTTGGAGCAAGGAACGGGAGCTCACCCTGTCACACAGCGCTCTGATCATAAACCTGGGCCGCCAGCTGACAACTTTAACCACTAAGCCTCTTTGCTCAGCGATGTACTTACCACTTCACGAAAGAATTGAGTTTTGGGCCTCTGAGGACAGGCAGGTCATTGCACTGTTTCACCCAAATGTGAACTTCGCCGGTAGCTGAAGTCTTTTTGCCTTTAAAACAGAGACATATATAACAGATGATTAACAGAGGGCTTTAAATATTAATTTTACTTTTGGGGGGACCTGTTGATTGCTTTTATATATATATAGCAGAAGAGAACAGAATAGCAGGATTGGAAGGGACCTTTGAGGTCTTCTAGTCCAACCCCTTGCTCGAGTAGGAAACCCTAAACCTATTCAGACAAATGGTTGCTCAGCCAGCAACAAGCCTTAAAGTTGTCAAGTTTGCCCTTGCACTACAGGCAGTCCTCGACTTACAAGCCCACAATTTCTGTGGTTAAGCGGACATTTGTTAAGTGAGCTTTGCCCCATTTTACAACCCTCCTTGCCACAGTTGTTAGGTGAATCACCGCAGTTGTGAAATTAGTAAACTGGTTGTTAAGTGAATTTGGCTTCCTCATTGACTTTGCTTATCAGAAAGTCGCAAAAGGGGATCACACATAGTCCCAGGACGCTGTGACTATCATAAATATGAGTCCGTTGTCAACTGCCTGAATTTTGATCACGTGACCATGGGGATGCTGCAAGGGTCGTAAGTGTGAAAAACAGTCATAAGTTGCTTTTTTCAATGCTGTTATAACTTTGAATAGTCACTAAATGAACTATTGCAAGTCGAGGACTACCTATACAAGCAAATAAATATATACAGTGTACAGTATGTGTGTGTGTGTGTGTGTGTATGTCTGTATGTATATGCATGTATGTGTATGTATATATGTATACACACACACACAAATACATACATACACATACATAAAACTGGAATACTTACCTCCAACAGGCTGTGGGACATACTGGAGAGCTATCTTTATCTCCCCTCTGTTTTCAAGATCTAATCCTTTTAAGGGCGTCTTCACCATTTGGAAAAACAAATGAAGAAATAAAGCAAAAACAGTCAATGCTTACGAAAAGCCTAATGCACACTCACTCTCTGTACTTCTGTAACTCTTTTCATCAAACAGAATGCCAGAATGAGTACAATCAATCTCTGAAACCCTCACGATGAACTACATAATGTGACCGGCCTTAAGTCAAGGACTGATGTGTACATATCTTAATTTCCAAAACAAAAACTCTCGCAAAGCCAATATATACTGGATTTGTTTTAAGTTTTAATGGCAACAGAAGCACAGAAGCTTTGTACTTCAGGACATAAGTCATGATTTAGGTGAGGGTGAAGGTTCGTTCTCCGAGCTTGCGGGTTGGTTTCTGAACGTTTCGTTACCAGGCCAGGTAATGTCTTCAGTGGAGTTGAGGGGATGTCAGTGTCCGTGCTCTTCTGTTTATGAGGGCTTCAGGGGTGGGGGTGTCAAGTGAGGGTCTTGTGATGGGTCAGGTGTGTGTCATCAGTGAGAGGCTTGTGATGGGTCTTGTGATGGGGAGGTCACATCAGGTGAGGGTCCCATCAGGTCAGGATCCTGTGATTGGTCTTGTGACATGACCATCACAAGACCTATTGAAAACTAAAACTTGTTGTTAGTTGCGAAGTCGTGTCCAACCCATCGCGACCCCATGGACAACGTTCCTCTAGGCCTTCCTGTCCTCTACCATCTTCTGGAGTCCATTTAAGCTCACGCCTACTGCTTCAGTGACTCCATCCAGCCACCTCATTCTCTGTCATCCCCTTCTTCTATTGCCCTCAATCTTTCCCAGCATTAGGCTCTTCTCCAGTGAGTCCTTCCTTCTCATTAGGTGGCCAAAGTACTTGAGTTTCAACTTCAGGTTGAAAACTGACACTGACATCCCCTAAACTCCGCTGAAGATGTTAGCTAGCCTGGTAACGCAACATTCGGAAAACAAACCCACAAGCTCGGAGAACAAATCTTCACCCTCATCCTACACCCAAGCTACAGATATTCACCACTATGGCAAACATTTTTTATATTCCTTGTAATATTTGGGAAGATATGTCGGGTACGGGCAAGGTGACCCGAACAACATTTTAGCTCGGAGAACACACTTAGGAAATCAAAACTTACCCTTGGTTTCAATGGATACCAGATCATTTGTTTGTTCTGATTGTCACTCCAGTCCCAGTTGGCCAAATCCAGCTCCACTTCGCCCAGGAAACTATTGCGCCCAAAAGTATCGTGATGCCAAACGGAGACATTCAAGCTTTGACTCTCCAAAACGGCTTTGTCTATTTTATACTGCAGATAAAGAAACAGACATGAAACATAGTTAAGATGAAGTCTCCTTTCTGTAGAGCCTCTGATTTGTAGACACGACCCTGCATTTTTCATGGTGACATTAGCACCCCTGCCATCAACAGTCAGAGGTCGGATGCTTTGGGGAGCTCATGAGCAAAATAGGGCAGAGTTAGAAATGACCGCTTTGGTCCCCACAGTACAAAAAAGATGTTGATGCTCTAGAAAGAGTACAGAGAAGAACAGCAAAGATGATTAGGAGACTGGAGGCTAAAGCATATGATGAACAGTGGCAGGAACTGGATATGTCTAGTCCAGAGGTAGGCAACCTTGCCTCTTTTATGACTCGTGGACTTCAACTCCCAGAATTCCTGAGCCAGCCATGCTGAGGGGAAAGGGAGAGTTTCCAAGCTGAGCCATGCTGGCTCAGGAATTCTGAAGTCCACGAGTCATAAAAGAGCCAAGGTTGCCTACCCCTGGTCTAGTCTAACGAAAAGAAGGACTGGGGTGACATGGTAGCAGTGTTCCAGTATTTGTAAGATTACAGAGAAGAGTAGTCAATCTCGAAGCACCTGAAGGCACGACAAGAAGCAATGGATGGAAACTAATCGAGAACCAACCTAAAATTAAGGAGAAATTTCCTGGCAGTTAGAATAATTAATCAGTGGAACAACTTGCCTCCAGAAGTTGTGGGTGCTCCAACACTGGAAGTTTTTAACAAGAGACTGGACTGCCTTTTGTCTGAAATGGTATTGGGTCTCCTACTTGAGGAGGGGTTTGGATAAGAAGACCTCCAAGGTTCTTTCCAACTCTATCGTTCTGTAATTCTGTAATTTGGTTTCTGCGTTCCTCACTTTATTGTTTTGGAATACATTTTTTTATAAATATTTGATTAATTTCAAGTTTTACAATCATAAGTACTTAATAAACAATGTGGTGTCTGGGTTCCTTTGTCATTCAGTGGTACATATTAACTTTCACTCAAAATAGCCAATACTACACCATCCAGTATTTCACTGGTCCTCTCTTCTTCCAATAATAATCATTTTTCCACACTAAGCAAATACAATTCTTACTGCTATTAATACCTATATAATTACCGTAAATATAAGCATCTTCATCACATGTTTCTAATGTTATACATAGTGTCAATAATGTCAGTTTGTAATATCTTAAATGTATTTGCAATCAAAATTTCCTTATTCAATCCATATCCTGTTTTTTCTCTTTTTTTCAATTTCAATTTCCCATCAATATTCAAAGTAACTTTATCAATTATCATTTTTCTCATCATTAATTACATTTGGGTAACTAAAAGCTTCCCTTATACTGACCCTCTTAGCATTTTCATATTTCCCATCTTATAGAAAATTATGTTATCCTAGTTACAAATCACATCTTCTAATTCATAAAGGTCCTTTTATTTCTAACAGTTGTCTATTCTTTTAATCATATTCAAACATCCATTAGATGGTATAATACCTCATCTAATTAGTCAGAACCTCTATTTTCTTCAGTCTTACTCTAGCTTTCTTCCTTTGCCAAATAACTTTGCAACTCAACGTGTTTAGATCACCAAGTATTTCTTCCTCTGTTTCGGTATATATTGTTTGGAATAAAAAAGGCAATTTAATTAAAGTGTTTTTGTAAAAACACTTTATTTATATTCGTTAAACAGCCTCCATTTTCTTTCTCCTTCAGTTTCTCTTTTAGTTTCTTGTTCCCCAGTTTTTAGCATTTCTCCTAACAACTTTATCATTCATTCTATCAATTCTTCTTCCTTGTTCTCAAATATATTCTGAAGTCTTGAAAAGTAAAATGTCTTTCCCATTTCCGGTGTTATATCTGGGTCTTCCAAATTTTTATTTATGTGTACCTGTCTGTTGGTTTCTTCTTTCGAATCCTCCATCTTTGTATCAGTTTCCTCTATTTTTTCTTCTGGTTTCTGAGTTGCTATTTCATTCTTTACGGTCATTTTCTGAATGTTTTTTGCTTGTAAGTTTAAGATGGAAAGTTGCTCATTTATGTTATTTAAATTATTTTTAGTCTCCTCATAATTTAAAACAATTGTCTCTTGAATTGATTTCAACATGGAAAGAATTTCTTTCTGAAGTCCATTTACATTTTCTTATTGATTATGCATGTTTCTTCCAAAGAGAAATAGTCTAGAAGCAACTTTCTCAATGTTTCTTAATATTTCTTGATAATTCTTGAAACTAAAAGTCAGTCAATATTTGTAATCGAGGCTGGCCAATTCAGAATGGTTTATTGTCTCATTCATACAGATAAAACAGCCCAAGGATTTCCCCCCCTTTTCCCAGCTGCAGTCTACAAAAGTGAAAGTTTCCAGGAACAACAAAGAGCCTTATTTATGTACGGGCTTTGTGCCAAATTTTCTTTAAGCATAATAAATTGTAATGCCAAAGGTTCACCACTAGATGTCCTTAACATCCACCTTCCAGCTTTTAAGTCCAAACTTATTTCACCAACTTTCCAAATTTGTCAAAGCTATGTCTCCAAATTAATCTTGTAGTTTTCTCTAATTTCCCCCCAAGGAAAGTTATTTGCCACTTTTCTTTTCCTGAGAGAACGGGGTGGAAATTCCCCTTCTCTCTATCATCTGGGGGCATTCTTTGCTTTGGGAATTCTTTTTTCCAGGAAGAAGTTTTAAAGTTATAAAGAAAGGATTATGTTCTCACCCAGTTCCATCCGTGTTGTTCAGAAGGTGCTAATTAGTGCTTATCTTGGGTTGTCAGTGGCTTCTGGCTGGCCATATGAATGCGGCCAGTCTTTCTCCTCCTGATTTGGAGGGCTTTCTTGGATCAAACGGAAGGGCCACCCCCCCCTCCTTGATCAATGAGGATCCCCTCCTTCTTCGTCGCCTCTCCGGGGCAACTTTAGACCGTTTTTAGGGTGCCCAGCAGAGCAAAATCAGACGTGGAGAACGGAGCCCTGTTTTCCTGCGCCCTTAATGCCATGATGTCTAACCCAGAGGTTTTGGAATACATTCCTTTTAGTTATTATAACTGGCTACTCCTGGCAGACCTACTCTTCATCTTCAAATCAGCTTCATTCAATGATTCCAATAATTCTAACCCATGAATAATGTTATGGTTCTCTATCATTTCAAACTCTGGGTGTCCTCTCTATAAATAAAATTGCCCCAAATCTGAAGATATTGCTAAATCTTGCAAGAGTTTTTTTAAAAAATATTCCCAAGAACTCATGTGACCCACATTTCACAATATTGCATGCAATATTTCAATTTTCTGATGAAAGCTGCTGAAACCTCACAGGATTTCAGCTGTTCCTACCCCTGGGATGCCTATTCATCATGGTTTTAATTTTATTGTTGATCCAGAATTCTGCCAGTTTTGATTAATTGTATTTACTACTCTGTTGCTGTGTTGTGATTTTAATTAAGCACCTCCATTAGTCCTTGGGAAACACAGCAGGGTAAAAACAAAGGAAATAAAAATAAATAAATTTAAATTAAAACTCAAGAGTGTTTGCAAATACTGTCCTTGTGGTTGATGGATACTATGTTTTGACTGATTATAGGTCATCACAGTTGGTGCTGATTCTGATAAACTCCACAGATGTTCTACCTGACAAGCGTGTTACTGACTCAACTTACAATCATAACTAAGCCCTCAACTTACAATCATAACTAAGCCCCAAATTTCCGTTCTTAAGCGAGATGGTCGTTAAGTGAATTCCCCCCCCCCTTTTACAACCTTTTCTGCCACAATCACTGCAGTGGTTAAATTAATAACACAGTTGTAAAGTGAATCTGGTTTCCCCCTTGATCTTTCTCATCAGACGGTCACAAACGGTGATCACACGATCCTGGGACACCACAGCTGTCATATCAGCCAACTACCAAGTGTCTAAAATTTGATCATATGGCTGTGGGGAATGCTGCAATGGTCGTTAAGTGTGAAAATCGGCCATAAGTCACTTTTTTCAGTGCTGTTATAACTTTGGTCCATCAATGAACTGTTGTTAAGCCGAAGGCTAACCGTATATTACACTGGTTCTTAGGTACGATTCTTCTAAAGTTGAAAAAAACTGTCTCCAAGGAGAATGGAGTTGTGATCAACTGCTTGCCTCAGCTACTCAGCTTCCTGTACTTTGGGCAGTTTTATTTACTTATATTTTATTTATATAGTGTAGAGGCCATCTGTCTCCACACGATGCTGGGTGATTTAAAAGCAGGAAGCAATAAAGTGAGGAACATAATATGGGCACTTGGAAGAGAAAACCATATGCAGCAATGAAGGAAAAACTGGCAGGGGTTCACTGGCCACCCTACCCCAAAACCTGTCAGAATAGCCAGTGTCTGTCTGTCTGTCCATCCATCCACCCACCTGTCCCTCCATCCACCTGTCCGTCCATTCATCCATTCTACCTACCTACCTACCTACCTATCATCTGTCTATCTATCCATCTATCCGTCTATCCGTCTGTCCGTCTGTCCATCTATCCATCTATCTATCACATTTATATAACCCCCCCATCTTTCAGCCAAACAGAAGTGTAGAGCTATTTCATCAAGAACAATAAAGGAGAATATTTGTAGCTCAGGGTTGAAATGAGGGGTTCTTGCTGCTGAAAACAACTTTGCTTGGTTGCTTTCTTGCAGACGTTTCATCACCCAAATTAGGTAACATCTTCAGTGCTACCGTGTTTCCCCGAAAGTAAGGCCTACACCAACAATAAGCTCTAGCTCAGTGTTTCTCAACCTTGACAATTTTAAGGCATGTGGACTTCAACTCCCAGAATTCTACAGCCAGCAATGCTGGCTATGGAATTCTGGGAGTTGAAGTCCACATGCCATAAAATTGTCAAGGTTGAGAAACACTGCTCTAGCTTGATTTTGGGGGGTGGGCCTAATATAAGCCCTACCCTAAAAATAAGCCTTAGTTTTGGGGCGAGGAACACACCTAAAAATCAAGCTGGGATAGGGGTGTGGAGCTGCCCCACCCCACCCGCCCCGCACCCACTTACCTTGCAGCCAGGCCTCTCCTCACCGGCCCACTTCTTCTTCTGAGGCCTCTTCTGCAGCCAGGCCTGCATTTCTGTCACAGGGCTTTCCAGAAGGCCCATGCAGCCAAGAACCGAGCTATAGATTCAGTCCATAGCTCGGTTCTACAAGACCTCAGCAGCCAAGCATCAAGCTATAGATTGAATCCATAGCTCGGTACTCGGCTGCTTAGGCCTTCTGGAAAGGCCTGACTGCAAAATCTAGGCCCAAATGCAGCTGCAGAACTTCGGCCCCAGAAGAAGTGGACCCGATGGGTGGGGCTGTCGGTGCCGGAGATGAGGTAAGGCCTACCCCAAAAATAAGACCTGGTGCCTCTTTTGGAGGCAAAAAATAAATAAGATCCAGTCTTATTTTCGGGGAAACATGGTAGTTAGGAATGGGGTTTGCTCTCAGTATATATTCTAGTGGCTTGGCCTGGGGTGGTCTTAGTTCTTTGGTTGGACGGTTTACTGTTGGCTTGTTTGGTAGTTCTTTGATTGGTATATTGTTTACTTGATTGTTGGTCTGATGTTAATCTTGGCGTTAATCTACACTCATCTGGGTGAACCCCTCATCAGAAACAAGGAGACAGATGCAAGTTACCCGTAATATCTCATTGTAGACTGGATTCAGTGTCTTCTTCTTCACAGAGGTCTTTCTTTTGCCCAGTTTATTTTTTTCTGGTAGCAGGTAACTCTTCACATAACTAAAAAGGTTTCATGGCCAAATAAGAGAAGACAGAGTCAGAATACGATTTCCAGTGAAGCCAACCTAAAAATCTTTGGTAGATTATGTTTAAGTTTCTCTTTAAATGGGAAAAAAAAAAGAAATCTATGTTTTCTTTACAAGCTTCTTCTAATAACTGAAAACTGAAATATTTGTTACTAATATTTTTTCCTCGACAAATTCCTAGTTGGGTTTGCACATTTACTGACTTTTAGAAACTGACGGCAGAAAAAGACCCAATGATCCATCGAGTCTGTCCTTTGAGTTTTGTTTGTTTGTTTTTATTTTCTTTTTAATTTATTTATTTATTAATTGTAATTATTATTCATTTATTTTATTAGCAGGAGACTCTGCCTTAGCCCTGAAAGCCAGCTGGGTGACTTTGGGCCAATTGCCAGGAGACTGAGTTTTAGTCTTGCCTTAGGCATGAAAAACTGGTTGGGGGACTTTGGGCCAATCGCTAGGAGACTGTGAATTCTAGTCCCACCTTAGGCATGAAAGCTGGCTGGGTGAACTTGGTCTAATTACCAGGAGACTGTGAGTTCTAGTCCCACTTTAGGCACGAAAGCCAGCTGGGTAATTTTTAGCCATTTACTTTCTCTTAGTCCTCATAGGGTCGTTGTGGAGAAAATGGGAGGAGGAAGGTGTGCTGGATATGTTCGCCACCTTGAGTTATTCATAAAAGTAATAAGGGTGAGGTACAGATAAATAAATAAATAAATAAATAAATAAATAAATAAATAATGAAAGTAATACAGCACAGTTCTTTCTCTTTTAAGAAATGGATGTTTCAGGTTCTCTCCCCTAGTTCCACTTACGGATCTGATCGTTGCCTTTTCACGTCTGCAATTGCCAAATCCTTTCCCTGGGCAATAAAAATATGGAACTCCTTCAACTGTTCCACATAGTCAACGGCAAACTGGAGATTCCCCTTCACGTCCACGTTGCCAAAATCTCCACTATACACGCTCATCACACTGGTGCTCACCTGCAGAGGTCCGAAAGGAAGAAAATAAATGCTTTTCCAGAGGGTGAGTTCCCAGGTGCTTCAGCAAAGGCACTGAAGCTCAAGAGAAAAATCCATTTTTGAACACGATAGAAAAGTAGGGAAGAACAACTGAGAAACCCTTTACAGCTATTATTCAAAGGGAGATATAATCCACATTCATATAATGCATGCTATTTTTTTAGTAAGCAAAAGTCATTAAGAGAACTCATGCAAAGAATAAATTTATACAGTGGACCCAGCAGAAAATATTCATCTGCTCCTCTCTTTAAATTCTACTACAATGGTACTTTGGTACTCAACTGCTTTAAAACTCATTGAATTTGGTATTCAACACATTTTGACGTGAAAATTTTGTCCTGGTACTCATCATTTGTTTTATGCACAAGCTAGAATTTATTTGACAATCCTCAGCTCTCTTATTCTCCAAACAAGGCAGTGACCAAGGTAATATAAGACCCCTTTTACAGATATTTGAGGTCAGTTCAATCTGTCCTGCAAATTCAAGGTTGAGAAGAGGATATAAAATTCTGGCTTCAAAATGCCAGTGCATTACTTTATTACCATGCCTCCGGGTGAACTTCATCAAGATTTGCTAGGAAAAGTATTCTATATCAATACAGAATTCAAAAACTTTTACACATCTTCATGGTGCGACAGCTACCAGAGACGTTAATATTAATTCACAAATTCAGACATTCTGAACACAGATTCCCATTTTGGTTTTCTGGCCGGTCACAGCAAATCAGAATGAATTCCCCTGTGGCTTTGGCCACTGTCTTCAATAAACCATACAAGAATTGAAATTAGTTATGGTTTGTTTCACAGTTCCTAGGAACATTTCTGCCAACAAGCACTCTGAAGGCCCTAATGAAAGGACTTTCAAGAAATAAAATTGAAAAACTGACTCTGATGAGAAAGGACAAGATTTTGAAAAGGAACAAAAAAGAGATACTCTCTAACCAAGCTGAGGTTCTGGACATAAAATCTTGGACATTGCCATACAGTTTTCTTCGCAACATTACAGAAGTAGCTTTTGCTGCTCCTGAAAATTAACTTTCCTTAATTTTCCAACTCGAAAAAAGTTGGCCAGGCACTATCCCAAGATGAGATGTTTTCAAACCCAAAGATGTACAGGTAGTCCTCGACGTACGACTGCAACGGAGGCCCAAATTTTTGTGGCTAAGCAAGACATGCGTGGAATGAATTTTGCCCCGTTTTAAGATCGTTCTTGCCATAGTTGTTAAGTGCATCACTGCAGTTGGTAAGCTAGGAACGCGGTTAAGTCAATCTGGCTTTCTCATTGACTTTGCTTGTCAGAAGGTTACAAAAGCCGATCACATGACGCTAGGACACTGCAACCGTCATAAACATGAGTCGGATGCCCACGATCTGAATTTTGATCCTGGGGATGCTGCAACGATTGTATGAAAAACGGTGATAAGTCACTTCAAATGGTCACTAAACAAACCGTTGCAAGCCGAGGACTACCTGTAATAACTAATTAAGATCATTTGTAAAGGTACCAAACATTACTCTGGAAGAAGTCAAGAGGCGAGAGAAGAATATTAGCAAAAGCAGCAAGATTAACCAGAGCTTTGGTTTACATACAGAAGACAGGGATGCCAAGCCAGAAGAGCCGCTAAGATTGGTTAACGAACTCGGGCTCTTTGTGATTCTCCCATGTAGGTAACTGCTCTCTGATGCTGTATCTGTCTCTCTGTCATCGCTCTACAAGACATCGCACAAAGGGAGAGAGAGAAAAGTCTGCACAGATGTTTGAAAAGTGGCAACAAGGACTACAAACAGCCTCTGCCAAGATTCTCGACTCTGGGATCTAGCTATCGCAGGTTAAGGTGGCGTGCGTAATTGGCATGCAACAATTTAAGCAGCACTTAATGAAAACAACAGGAAGGAATTGGGTAGTGCAGTGAGGGCAAACCTTTTAGAGACCGAGTGCCCAAAAACCGCTCTGGCCCATCCCCGCTCCACCACCCCCCGGGCTGCCCGCCCTGCCCCCATCTCCGCCCCGCCCACCCGCAGGGCCACCCACCGCCTCCACGACCCACCGCAGATTGCCCAGGCGGCTCTGCAGCACCATGGCGGCTATGTCCTCCGCCTGCGCCCCGCAGCAGCATCTGCGCGTGACGGGGTGCGAGGGCGGAGTCTTGTCCCTGCTGCCCGGCTGCCATGTGCTTGGATGTGCTGCTCTGCGTGGGCCGCATCCGGGGGCAACTCTCCTCTGGGGGGGCTGCTGGTGAGGAGGAGGCTGCGGGGGGAGGCGGGGCTGGGGCAACGACATGCCCACAGAGAGAGCTCTGAGTGCTGCCTCTGGCACATGTGCCATAGGTTCGCCACCACAACATCCCCTCTTCAAACAGACTTGGATCGATTTTAAAGGAAAGGAGATCAGCCACCCTATTTCACTAGCTAGTGGCATAGATATAAGACAAGGATGTTGACTCGGAATTAGGGGACAGCATAGGAAGTATCACTTGTGAATATGTGCAGATGGCCCCGCTGTCTTTGGCCATTTGGATGCATGGGTCATGAAAGTCATGGATGCAGGGTCATGAAAGGACAGCAAGGAAAACACCCAATGTCCTAACCCACCCAGGAACGTACGATGTCTTTAGGGAAACACCCAAAAGGGAACATTTTTAGCTACTTCTGTTTTCTCCCTTCTTATCTGCAGTGTGCCAGATTTACTGGGTGAAATCTTCATTGTATGTGTGTCAGCTTTGCTGGGTGGATTGCTTATGTAATCAGAAAGAATAAATACAAGGATTGCTTGTCATTTGGGGCTTCTCTCTTTTAGAAGAGCCCATCTTTGTTCAGCTGAATAAAAACCTAAAGCTGAAAGGCAACTTCTGGTTTCCTGTACTTTTTTATCAAGCAACACTTCAGAGCCTGCACAACAAGGGATGTGGTGTATTTTTTTTTAAATTATTCTTCCCTGATTTCGTTCTGGGCCTAAAGGCCATCTGTCCACAAGTGTCCAGTGTTGCAATCCTCAGGTTTTCTCAAACCTGATCCTATGAGGAAAAAAAATCATTTCTAATTCCAGAGATTGAAAAGTCTTGCTTTTATGTTCCATGTTACAGGTAGTCTTCGACTTTTAACTTTTAACTACAACTGAGACCAGAATATTGGCTGCTAGCAGGAGGGGTTGTTAAATGAGCCATGCCCAATTTTACGACCCTTTTTTGCCAGGATTGTTAAGTGAATCACTGCGGTAAAGTATATTATGTTGTCATTAAGCAAATCTTGCTTGTCAAGAAGTCAGTTGGCAAATGGCGATCACAAACTCCAGGATACCGCAACCATCATAAATACATCCTGGTTGCCAAGCACCCAAATTTTGACCGCATAATTGTGGGGATGCTGTGACAATCGTAAATGTGAGGAAGTCACTTTTTTGAATGCTGTTGTAATTTTGAACGGTCATTACACGGTAAGTCAAGGACTACCTATATCTAGGAATTAATATAGTTGGATTTTGTCTATATATTGTGGCTTGATTGAGGTCTGTCTTAGTGCATTCTTGGAATCGTAGCCATTGGCATTTGCAAACCAGTTTATGGCAATAAAGTTTGGGCTTTTTAAGAGAGACTGTTTTATTCCCTCCCTGTTAGTGTGGGCTCTCTTTCAATGCTGCAAAACTTAAATGTTGATACGATTGCATATCAGTGCAATCGTATTATTAGTTATCCATTTGAAAGCCCCTCGCAGTCAGTTGTGTCTGGAACCCCCTATAAACCTAGTAACTAAATAAATAATTGAAGAAATAATTGGGTGAGAGATATAACGTGATGACAATTTGCTAAATGCCATCACTGGATAAAAAGCAATCAGAGGACTGCTTTGCTATACAGTCAAATACACATTTTTACAATACAAATTACAATTTTAGTTTGTCCTGACCAAAAAAAACCCGTGGGCTATGAAACAATCAGATGACTGTTTCAATTTTTGAAAGCAATTGTTCAACCAGTCCAGATGCATAAAGTGTTATTTATGAACTACTAAGAAAAAGGACTACCTTCTAACTAATCTTCTTTCTTACAATATTCAGACCGATTGCAATAATGGGAAATCTGCCAGCTTCATTTCTTTACCCGCCTGCTTTCTGAGTGTAGTTGCCATACATTTTACTAAAACACCACAACCTTAAAGCGAATCATCATTATGGTTTTTCTTAAAACGGAGGTTAAAAACTTGCCTCATCCTGAAGAAATGCTGGGACCGATTTGCTCATCATCTTAATTTTTTCCGGACGCGAAAACTGACTGTCAGAGAAAGAAGGTGCTGTGGAAACTAAAAAGCAGCAATTCACATTGAGAAAACTAATTAGATTCACGTCTTGCTAAAAAGATTGACTCATATAGAAGTGTTCTTGGAAGAAAAAAAACAACAACCCACAAGCATGCTTCAAAAACGTGTACATGCAAGTTACGTTTCATAAAACCAGAAAGCTTTGCTGCAAAGAAGCATAAAGATCTGGCATAATTAATGATCTACGCAAGTCCTTTCTGAATTTTCGAATCTCCTCTAAAATAAAGATTTTTTTACCATTCCTCCATTCCTCCGTGTCTATGGAGATTCTCAGTCATCCAGGTCATAGCTGTCCCAAAGATGCTTTTCCACAAGGCCATTGGACTTTCTTGTTTCTCCTTTGAAGATGTTTCGCTTCCCATCCAAGAAGCTTCTTCGGCTCTGACTGGATGGTGGGGAATGGAAGGATTTATACTCATTTGCATTCTTTTAGAGAGTCATTGAGGCCACTTGGAAGTTTATCTGTGTCCTCAGGGTCACCTGAGTAGTGCAAATGGGGGTGGAGCTTTCTTAGATAAACCTCCAGGTAGCCTCAACGACTCTCTAAAACAGAGGTGTCAAACTCAATTTCATTGAGGGCTGCATCAGCATTGTGGTTGCCCTTGGGGGGGTGGGGGGGTGGCCGGGGGGGTGCGGCCTACTGGGTGGGCGTGGATGGAGTGGGTGTGGCCTACTGGGTGGGTATGGCCAGCACTACATTGTTCGCGTCAAGGGTGCCTGTGGGGGCCTGGGCAGGAGTAGGATAGATCTGAGGGTCTCTGGCAGAAGGGGGTGGGACCAGGGCAAGCGCCAAGGCATGGTCCATTTCTTCATTCCTCACAAAGGGTGACCCCTCCCAAGCATGCACCCAGGGGGCGGGGCTGACAACAGGGACTGGTTCTTCGCTGTTTCTAGATGGCCTTGTGGAGCTAAGTCTGAATGCATTTCAGCATAGATGGCCACCACAAAATTGTACATTGGCTCCCAGCCGGCCTGGGCCAGGGCCAAGGCAGCAGGGGCCGTTCCCTCACTGTTTCCAGGATGGCTTCGTGGGCCACATGAAACCACTTCGCGGGCCGCATCCAGCCCCCCCGGGCCTTGTGTTTGACATGTCTGCTCTAAAAGAATGCAAATGACAGCTGTCTGCAAGGAGTATAAATCCTTCCATTCCCACCATTCAATCAGAGCTGAAGAAGCTTCTTGGATGAGAAGCGAAACATCTTCAAAGGAAAAACAAGAAAGTCCAGTTGCCTCGTGGAAAAGCATCTTTGGGACTTCATTCCTGCACCTGCAACAATATAGGCCTGCAAGAATTCTCCCATGAGATACAAGCAAAGCTATCTGAGTTGGTGCTTAAAGATCATTTATACCAAACTTACATTTTATATAAATCAAGAATTCATGACAAGCCCAGTTTATAAATACATTTGCCAATTGGTTAATTCAATCAATCCATTTATTAAACAGTTAACAATACCCCTCTGTGTAGAAAAAAAAAGCCTGTATCCAATTGTAATGTTATCAAGGAATGATCTGAATTTTACTCTCTCTCGTCCAAGTTCAATAAACTTCCTAAATCAGGAGTGGATAACTTTTTGGAGGCAATGGACTAAACTTACAAATTTTTACCAGGAAATTGAGGTTGAGGATGATCATGAAACAGAGGTACAGAGGAAGATTAAGCCTAGGGTTTTTCCAGACATTTATTATCTTTTTAAACTGCATTAAGTCTTTTGTAGGAATATTTCCTGCTTCAAAATATCCGGAAAATGGGATGCTGTTTTTTTCTCCCCCTTTTTTCTTAAACTGAACATTCATCATCCCTTCTAGCAGATGAAGAGTGGGAAGAGGGGGGAAAAAAATAACAAAGCTCAGCGGGTGGTAGAATTATTCAGTGGACACCAAGTTTTCCACAAACAAAAGCTGAGCCCTGTATCTAGCAAGAACATAAAAATCTCAATTTTTTCCCCTGATCCTTCTCTGGGATCAAGGCCATATCAATTTCTTTTCCCTCCCAAAACACAGGATCGTTTTGCCGCTGAGCTATACATCCTTCGTGATGAGATTATCGTTTTCTTTTGCATTACTACCTCATTCTCATGTTTTCCACCGTTTGGTTCCTTCCATTTGCTGGGTGTTACCTTCAGGTGGCCAATGCAATCATGCGTTGCTTTAAACACACAAGAGCTCTCATCAATGCAAAATTAGTTCTTATTTTATGATGCAAACTATTAGCAGAACCAGAACAGCCTCCCAAATGTATTAGTGGTTAGTCAGTAGTATAACATAAAATAGCGAAAAGTCACGAAAATGTTATATTTCAGGAAGGGTCTTATTACTCACTTCCTGCTGGGTTGCCACTGAGCTCAATTGGGTGATCTGATCAAAAAATTGCAACCACAAATAACATAGTGTTATACTTAACAAGAAGGCTCCAATTACAACCGTGCTGCCATTAACCACAGGATCTATTTATCTAGTGATGGATAATAATGTGGATGGGTTTTTGAAAATAGACTTTTTTCAATGGTGAAAAAAGTAAGGTTCTACATTTAAGCAAGAAAAACCAAATGTACAGGTATAGTATAGGGGGTACCTTGCTCAATAGTAGTAACTCTGAGAGGGATCTCGGAGTCCTAGTGGACAATCGTTTAAATATGAGCCAGCAGTGTGCTGCAGCTGCCAAAAAGGCCAACACAGTGCTAGGCTGCATTAACAGAGGGATAGAATCAAGATCACGTGAAGTATTAATACCACTTTACAAGGCCTTGGTAAGGCCACACGTGGAATACTGCATCCAGTTTTGGTCACCAAGATGTAAAAAAGATGTTGAGACTCTAGAAAGAGTACAGAGAAGAGCAACAAAGATGATTAGGGGACTGGAGGCTAAAACATATAAGGAACGGTTGCTGGAATTGGGTATGTCTAGTCTAACGAAGAGAAGGACGAGGGGAGACATGATAGCAGTGTTCCAATATCTCAGGGACTGCCACAAAGAAGAGGGAGTCAAGCTATTCTCCAAAGCGCCTGAAGGCAGGACAAGAAGCAACAGATGGAAACTATCCAAAGAGAGAAGCAACCTAGAACTAAGGAGAAACTTCCTGACAGTTAGAACAATTAACCAATGGAACAACCTGCCTCTAGAAGTTGTGAATGCTCCAACACTGGAAGTTTTTAAGAAGAAACTGGACACCCATTTGTCCAAAATGGTATAGGGTTACCTGCCTGAGCAGGGGGTTGGACTAGATGACCTCCAAGGTCCCTTCCAACTTTATTATTATTATTATTAACTGGGCAGGTTATGGAGGATAATTAATCCTGAATATCTACGGAGATCCTCAGTCCTCCCAAAGGTGCTTTTTCAAAAGGCAACTGGACTTTGTTTTTCCTCATCTAAGAAGCTGCTTCTCAGAACTGAAGAAGCTTCTTGGATGAGAAGCGAAATGTTTACAAGGAAAAACAAAACCCAGTTGCCTTTTGAAAAAGCACCTTTGGGACAATTAATCCTGAAGTCACAATGCTACCTCCAGACTGAAGGCACCGTGCTTCTAAATTCCACTCACAGTAGAAAGGTTGATTATATGGAAAACAACAAAACCAGTTGACTACGGAGATTCTCAATCATCCAGGTCATGAATGTCCCTAAGGTACTTTTTCAAAAAAAAAACAAAAACCCCCACTGGACTTTCTTGGGTTTTTTTCCTCTGAACTGAAGTAGCTTCTTGGATGAGAAGCTAAATATTTTCAAAGAAAAAAAACAAGGAAGTCCAATTACCCTTTGGAAAAAGCACCTTCGGGACAACAAAACCGATCAAGTCCTTAGTTTGATCCAGCAAGGTCACTCTCAGTGTTACAGACAAAACTGTTGTCTCTGGATCTGCTCCTCGCTTCAGAATCTATAGATATTCTATTTTCAAGCTATTCTATAATTGCATTTATATTTCGAAATGAGATACGGCTAAGAGAGCTGCCAGATGTTAAAAGTAGAGAAAATCTCTTGAAGAATTGGCAAATTACAAGGCCTAATTTCATTTACGCTTTAAAAAAAATACGAAAAAAAAAATCAAATCCTGGATGGACGCCCCAAGTTACATTTTTTAAACTGTTTAACTCCTTTCACCGCACTTAGCCTAGCTAATAAATTCATTTGTTTTCAGGATAATAGGGAGTATCATATTTGCAAGATCAAATCTGTGTCAGTCACCAGGACCAGAGATTTACTCTTCCGAGCTTCTAGACTTGGACTGGAGCCCAACCTCAGGGAACTGCAGCCAGTTTTGGTCACCATATCAAAAAAAAAAAATATGTTGAGAGTTTGGAAAAAATTCAGAGAAGAGCAACTAAGACGACCAAAGGCCTGGAGACTAAAACATACAAAGAATGGCTGAGAGACTTGAGTTTGGCTAGTATAAAGAAAAGAAGAAATAAGGGAGACATGATAGCAGTATTCCAGTATTGAGGGGCTGCCACAAGGCAGAGGGGGTCAGGTTGTTCACCAGAGCACCAGAGGGAAGGACGAGAAACAATGGTTGGAAACTGGTCAAGGAGAGAAGCAACCTAGTATTAAGGAGAAACTTTCTGACAGTGAGGACAATCAACCAGTGGAACGGCTTGCCCCCAGAAATCGTGGGCACTCCATCACTGGAGATTTTTAAGAAGAGACTGGACATTCACCTGTCTGAGACGGTATAGGTTCTCCTGCTTGAGCAGGGGGCTGGACTAGAAGACCTCCAAGGTCCCTTACAGTTCTATTCTATTCTATTCTATTCTATTCTATTCTATTCTACTCTACGCTACGCTACGCTACGCTACGCTACGCTATTCCACTCTACTCTACTCTAACTTCTCTCTACTGGAATATGTGCTTTGGGCTATTCTATGAGTCATATTTATGTGGTGCCTTCCTATCGGTTGATTGGGGTTATCCATCCATTCTTCCAAAGCAATAAATTGGTCAATTAATAATGGTCAAATATTCTAGGAAGTTAGGAATGTCCTGCCCATTTTAATTTCAATTATGATGGCATGTCATAGTTTATGTAAGATTTGGCACACATTTTATGCACACTCTGAGTTTAGCTGAAGGCTGTGGGTTCAAACTTGAGCAACGTAGTCTGGACTGCAATCTATATTTCTGAGAGAGTCATCTTTATACAGGGCATTAAATCAAAAGTCACAGGCCAATCCAAAGTTTAAATCATGCAATATTTTAACGATTTTAAAGCCTAGCTATTAACTGTCACCGAAGACACAGAATACTTAATGCATACATTTTCATTAAAGTAGAACATTTAAATTCATGCAATTACATATAAAATAATTACCATCTTCAGCACTAAGCACTAAGTCTTCCCTGGCAAGGTTTATTTTTTCTTTATCTGTGCAAGAGGAAAAATGGTGACACAATTAGATAATTCAGCTGTTCAGGATATCCTTATAGGTTGAAGCCTCTTGAGATGGGAGAGAAGCAAAATGAAATTTGGAGTAAAGTCAAGTTCTGAAAAAGCCTTCTTTACAAACCACATGTACTGTACCACAGGAAGAGGAGAAGGGTATCTATCAACATTTTTAGTACAATTTATATGCAGGCAGTCCTCAACTTACAACCACAATTGAGCCTAAAATTTTTGTTGCTAAGCGAGAGTTTTTAAGGGAATTTTGCCCCATTTTACGACCTTTCAATAGATGTTAAGTGAATCATGTAGTTGTTAAGTCACTAACATGGTTGTTAAATAAATCTGGGTCCCCCGTTGAGTTTGCTTCTCAGAAGGTTGCGAAAAGTGATCACATCACCCAGGGAACACTGCAGCCGTCATAAGTACAGTAGTGGCCAAAATTGTGGAAACCTTTTGGGAAAAGTGTATTTTTGAGGTTTGATGGCTAATAACACCACTTTTTTTTGGAGTAGTACCATCAAAATCAATGGAAAGATAATTTAACCAAGAATACAACATTTGTTCAATTATCTGTACTGTATTCTATGAAAAGGTATAGCCAAATAACCAGAAAAAGGAAGCACAACTTGCTTAGGTTGATACCTGATATCAACTTAAGCAAGTTGTGCTTCCTTTCATCTGATTGTAGCCAATGAGCATGAGCGTTTAGAAAGCCAATCAGGTGTCATCTTGTTTTGGCAATGAGCCAATCAGATCACAGTAGGATTCAGTTTTTGATGTCATGTATTGAAGCTGAGAGGAGGATATTTGTCAGTGTGTTATGTGATCACTATCAAGTTGGTTGGGTTTTTTTGTGTTCTTTCATTTAATGAGCTTGTAAAACGTAATAAAATTAAAGTAATGGTGCAAAGAGTTCACTGGTTGTCCAGAAAGCGATGCAAAATAGTATTATTAAGTGAACAAGGCTACAGTTATAAAGATATTAGAAGAAAAATGGGTGGAAACTTAACCAAAGGTGGCATTTCTACTGTACACTTTTCCCAAAAGGTTTCCACAATTTTGGCCACTACTGTACATGCCAGTTACCAAGTGTCTGAATGTTAATCATGTGACCCCGGGGATGTTGCAGTGGTTGTGTGAAAAATGGTGACAGGTCACTTTATTCTGTGCCGTTGTAATTTCAAACGGTCAGTAAATGGATGGTTTTTGAAGTCCAGGACTATCTGTATAGTACATTTCAAAAATAATTGATGTAGAGCACTTTTCTACTGATGCAGTTCATCCAATCTGCGTGCCAATGACTTAATCAAATCATCACCTGATCCCACCAGCATTATCCACCATGTGGTATAATGGAAATAATGGAAATAAAATGCGGGTGCAGGTAGTCCTCATTTAGCAAAGGTCTCACGCAGTGACCATTCAGTTGCAATGGTGATGAAAAATTAATTTTATGAGTGACCCATCCTTGAATTTATGACCTACGTCCGTGAAGCAAAGGAAAGTTGAATTAAGATCATAAGCACAGTTGCAGTTGGGAGCCACTTCCCTCGCAACTCAGTCGTTGATTTGCTGATCCAACTCAGTGGTTCTTAAGAGAGGACTGCCTGTAATAAAAACTGGGATGAGACATGATGGATTTGGATCCACCAACAGCTACAGCATTGATCAAGACAGGGTGTGAGCCATCTCACAAGGCATCTTCTGAAACAATCCCGGTAAACAAATAACTTTATACAACTTTTTTCAATCCCTCCTCTAGCGATTAGCTTTGTAGATATATTGGCTTGATGAAAACTTTTCAAGGTGTTTACTCCTTCCAAAAAGTAACACAAAACGACAACGGTGGACAGATTGGGACAAAAGTATACTCAATGAGAAATGTTAAGGGCATGGAAAAATGTCAGATTTTGCTCACTTGAGGTGGCTGATGGTATGTCCTCTACACTTTTGGAAGGAATTTGCCTATTTGAATTCCTTTTCAGGGCCTTCATAACGGGGTTCAACTCTTCCTCCGAACCTGTTTCAAAACAAAAAATATGAGCACGGCACAACACATAGACCGATGTCCCAACCGGGATAACCTACCTTTACCTGTGTTAACTCACCCAAGTTTTAAAAATAGAAACCAAAGAATATAAGAACGCCAGCCCTTATCACCATTCCTTCTTATGGTGATCTGAAATTATTTCATTATTCACTACCTCGCTTTTCCCTTCCCTAGCTGAAATTTGCCAGGACGGCCACTGAATGGGACAATTCCACATTTCTTGTCATACAGGTGGTCCTGCACTTACGACCATAGTTGAGGCCCAAAATTTCTGTTGCTAAGCAAGACAGTCGTTCAGTGAGTTTTGCCCCATTTTACGACTTTTCTTGTTAAGGGAATCACTGCAGCTGTTAAGTTAGTAACATGCTTGTTAAGTGACTCTGGCTTCTCCACTGACTTTGTTAGTCAGAAGGTCGCAAAAGGGAATCACATGACCCCGGGACACTGCAACTGTCCTAAGTACATGCCAGTTGCCAAGCCTCTGAATTTTGATCACATTACTATGGGGATGCTGCAATGGTCATAAGTATGAAAAACCGTCCTAAGTCATTTTTTTTTAGTGCCATTGCAACTTTGGTCACTAAACAAGTGGTTGTAAGTCAAGGACTACCTGTACGTAATTCCACCCTTATAATGAAAAGTAAAATCCCATGCCTTCTACAGCCCCATTTCTTTATCAAGAAATATTTTTATCTGTTTGGGTGTGTCCTCTAACATCGCTACTTCACGAGTAGTTTCGTGACAGGTTATCAAATGCCAAGTACGTGTCTTTCTTCTTGCGTGATGGGCTTAGTCAGCCGCGGTTGCCTTAGTTATTGTTGCTACGGGAAGGAAACTTTGAGGTTGATAGGATTTTGAAAAAATGATTGATAAAGACCAGGTTGCAATTTGTTGGGCTGGCTGGAACAGAATCACAGCCAGAGGCTGGCATGAGAACCAACTTTTGAATCGTGAGAACTGGTGCTGTTGAAAGAGCTAAAGAACAGAGCAGATAGCTAAGCAAAGCAGGAAGCCATCCTGAAGTTATAGTAGATATTCAAGCAGGCAGCAGCATCTACTACCAAAAAGGTTTTAAACCATTTAGTCAGGGTAGAATTGGAAGGGACCTTGGAGGTCTTCTAGTCCAACCCCCTGCTCAAGCAGGAGATCCTGTACCATTTCAGAAAAGTGGCTGTCCAGTTCTTTTCTTAAAAACCTCCAGTGATGGAGCAACCACAACTTCTGAAGGCAAGCTGTTCCACTGGGTTTATTGTTCTCACTGTTAGGAAGTTCCTCCTCATTCCTTCCGATCTGAAGGAACTTCTTAAGTTCCTTTAAACTTGCTTAAGATCATTCCTCCTGATCTTAAGAAACTCCTTAAGTTTCCCCTCATTCCTTCTGATCTTAAGAAATTCCTTAACTTTCTTTAAACTTTCTTAAGATCATTCCTTCTGATCTTAAGAAACGCCTTAAGTTTCTCCTCACTCCTTCCAATCAGGAGGAATTTCCGCAAGCAATCTCAGAGGTTCAGATATATTAAGAAAGCAGGTATAGGAGGAAGAGCCGAGAAAGCATAAAATAAAATCTTGCGCTGGTTTCCAGCTGTGCAAGATTGCTTGGAATAAAAAAAAAATGGATATCCCAAATTTACTTTGCTGGGCACAATTCTCTTACGAATCATAATGGAGCACATTTAACTCAAAACTGTTTGCTGAAGTCAAGTCCTCCAATTGATTGAAAAGCAATGCATGAATAAACCCTTTCCTTGTCTTCCTCTGGTGAAGTTGTCTCAATTTGCTAAATTGAGGCTAAAACGAACTTTGGAAAAGTGACTATTTAGAATTTCCAACAATTTGTGCTGTCAAAGTGAAAGGGCTGTCTACAGTATTGATCATGTCTCTCTGCCAAACTAAGGCAGGAAATTAATCTTGTAGGAGGATGATCCAAACTTATATCTGGCTGGTATAAAGAAATCCTTTAAAAAAAATATTATTCAGAACATATGCTACCATTTCTGGCTTCTAACTGATTGGACAAAAGGAAGATAGGAAGCCATCATAAATTAGATTACCGCACAGATTTTTGCCCAATGTTCTGGAACTACGGAGAAAATACATAAGCATTTTTTTTCTAATTTAGAGTAAAATGTATTTCCCTTTAAATCCTGACGAAGGAACCTATGCCCCTTGAATTGTAAGTCAGGACATCTTTGCTTTAAGGGGGCGGGGAATGAGTGTGTAGCATCCAGGTGGCTTTCTAACAATCTTTATAAAACAGACCCAGATTAGAATGAAATAATTTTTAAATGCTCACATATTGGATCTCTTTGGCTTCCCAGAACGGATTTATTTTTCTCTGAAAAATCTGACTCACAATTCTTGGCATCTCCATCAACATCGTTGTCATCGCCAGCAGGAGGGGCGGCCTGATAACGCTCCACTTCCCCGCTTTGGATAGGACTTCCACCGAGGGGGGTGCTTGATCTTTGCAATCCGCGCTCCACTATCAGGCTTCTGTTGGCATCAATTAATGAAGTGGAAAACTCTGCTTCTTTCTCTTGAATACTTCTGTCCTCTGCCTTATCGGCTGTGGAAGGAAAATCCTTATCTTTTTCCAGACATGGGGTTTCTGAAGATGCTAGATTAAGATGGATTATTTTTTGGAAGGCCATGTCCTCTGAAAGCTTTCCTCCTCCGTCAGTTTGCTTGGACGCCTTCTCTGTAAGTGGGATTTTAAGTTCACTACGATAATCCCTCGACATTTCTACAGGTGATTTTAATGCCTGATCCTCTTTTGCTGTGATTTTCTGGCTACATGGTAAGATTTCAGAGTTTTCCTTGAGTAACGTTTGGAAACGGGCTTTGAATTCAACCTGTCTAGAATTAGAAGGAACAGTAGATTTTTCTACTCTTTCAATTACTTCCTGACTATTCCGTGTATCTTTGGCACAAGCTGAGCTCACAGACTGATCAGGCTGTAATGGGGAATGTGTCAGTTTAGGAATTTCTATGTCTCCAAGTAACCCTGTTGCATCTTCGTTAAGTATTTGTTTTAAATTGGCTCTAAATGTTGCACGATCGCATGATTTTGGTTTCATAGTTTTCACAACTGTTTCCATCGTGTCCACAGGCTGCTTCCCAGCTAATTCTCCCTGGATTCTCTCCTTAGGATCTGCATATTGTTTAGTTGCTTCCGTTGTGCCATCTTGCACGACAATCAGCACTCTGGCGTCTTTGTTGGTATCTTTGCTTTTCTCAGCAGTCTCACCCACAGTCTCTCTCAAATGACTGGACGTTTGGGGTGAAGCAAAGTCTTTCTCTTTATTCATTTGTTGATATGATTTTTGTTGATTCTCTTTAGGAAGATCATCAAATGGTGCTTCCAAAATGTCCTGGGTCCTGGGCCATGTTGCTGATTCTTTCAACAGACGGATGAGTTTAGCGTTCAAATCGCTGCATTCTCTGTTTGGTGGGACGTTGTTTTTGGATACCGTCTCCAAAACGTCTTCTTCAGCAGAGTCTGTTCTGTTCTGAGCTGCACCACAGGTGTCAGGTTGTATCAGCTCTAGGGATGGAATCAGCAAGTTCTTTTCCCAAGCAGGATTATCACTGAAATACATTTGCCTGTCCTCTTTCACAGGCATGGGTTTTAATTCTTCCAGCGATCTAGGCAAACTTCCCATGTTGGTTGTGAACTCCACAGGCTGAGTTTGGAGTAAGTGATGTTTTTCCATAGTTCCTTCTGTTTGACATCCCTCTCTGCTCTCTTCTGGATCACTGGGATAAGAATGATGGCTGCGCTCCATTACCTTATTAAAAAAATCCCTTTTTTCTGACGTAAGGTCTGCTGGTTCAGAAACATCCATTATGATATGTTGCCTGAGAGACGCCTGTAGATCAGATGTTTCCTTAAGCAACTTCTCCAAACTCGTACTAAAAGCATCAGCACCAGCAGTTTTTGGTGGGACCAAAGTCCTACTTACAATCTCTACGACCTCACTTGTTTTAAGACCAGCTTTTCCATCTGTGCCTGAAGGGACAAAACTAGGTTCTTGAATCTGATCATTGGGAGCCATTTGATCCTTTCCTACTAACTCTACACATGGAATCCATTTCTCATGTATTGGTGGGCAAGAGGACTCCCGGAACTCTTCAACCAATGCTGTTGGTTGAAAACTACTGTTAACAACCTTGTTATGCTGTATTTCAGGTGAAATTTTTTTTATTCCTGCCCGTTCCTTTCCTGGAAGCACAGGAGATGAGTCATCGTCCCTTGTTAGGACATAATCTAAACGCATGGGTACTGTAGTTGCTGTTGGGGAAAACATGGCTTCTGCTAAAGGACTTTGGGGCGAAATATGAGCAGTAGGTTTCTTCATTTCCTCTTCTTGAAGAGAAAAACCAGATCTTCCATCATCCAAAATGGCTTGGCTACTTCCAGTTCTTTCTTGTAACTCTTTCGTGTAACTTCCAGTGCTACTCTTATGCGTCTGTGGGATGGTCTCATCAATTTTGCTCTGTGGTTTAGTCCCCATATCCCAAAAGTTTCTCAGGCTCTGGAATTGGGAAGGGTTGAGCATTTGAGACCTGGATTCTTCATCCATTTTTTCTTTCAATGAATGGATCTTAAAAGGAGACTTTGGTTGAAGAGTCCCTTTTTCTAAAGCAGTGACTTTTGGCCTTTCACTTTCTTTAGAAGATGCCATCACTTTGTAACTCGGCTGCAAATTGCTCTCATTCAACACTCCTGTAATGTTAGCGTTTTTCTGGTCATTCGAAAGTACTTCATTAGATATATTAATATCTTGGTTTTCTGTACATTTATCTCCTTGGATGGGCCTGCTCGTTCCTGAAAATTTTACATCATCACCTTTCATCTCAGACTCCTCCTCACTTATCTCAACTTTTCTGAAGGTAACTAAATTATATTTGCTTTGTTCATTGTCAGATTCACTTGTTACATATCCAGAAGATCCGCTCACTGGTTTTATCCTACCGTATTCTTGTGTATTACTAGACATATTTTCATTTGTAAGAACTTCCTTATTTCCAAGCTCTGGAGTCACCTTCCCACCTTCCCAGAAAGCCTTCATATCCTTGACTCTTTTCTTATCTCCTATCACCGATGGTTGTCTTAACTCATGTTGTTGCAGGACCAGGTTACTTCTATTGTTGGCGTGGGGCATATTTTCAGTGTCTTGAAAATTACAGTCCTTTCCTTCAGGATCTTTTAGAGTTTCTCCAGATTTAACCTCGCTGTTTTCTTCTTCCAAGAAAGATTTAACATCTCTCTCTCCATCAGTGTATATCTGTGAACTGGTTTCTCTTTTCATTCCACTTCCAAAAGAAGCGTCAGTGATATGAATATTGTGAGAAGCTGCATTCACGTTTTCTTTGCTTCGATTCAAAGGAGCTTGGTCTCCTAGGACCACTTCACTTGGACTTTCGCTTTCCGAAAAGGATAATTGTCCTGGTTGTTTTACGATATCCTGGAGCCTTGAGTCTTTGCTCGTTGACTCTCCTCTTTCACACAGAGACGATTTCAGATTTAACAGCTCTGTATTTGACTCCTTATCTTCTCCAATTGTAGACAATTTCACTGACTTTGGGGTGTCCATCTCCTCTGTAAATTGCTTTTGCTGAGGTGTTATCAAAACTGTTTCTTTATCAGCAGTACTGGAACTTCTTTTGAACCAGTCTAGCACTTTGGATATAGATTCATCAGCGGCCTTCAAATTTTCAGCAGCATGTTTGTCAACACTGCGACCCACAACAAGAGCAGGCTTACCTTGCTTAAGGTCTGCACAGCCGGTGTTTGACAACTCGGCTTCCTCTGCCTCAGCCAAACGCAACTCCTGGCCTACAAGAGACACAGCCAATATTTCTTGAGAAACAGAAAAAAAAAATTGTAGCCTCCCAAATTAATGGTATCAGTTGATTTCAAGCTGCCTAGATCGGCCTGACTATATACCAGGGGTGGGGAACTATGGCGCTGTTATGACATGTGGACTTCAACTCCCAGAATTCCTGAGCCTGCCATATTGCCCCAGGAATTCTGGGAGTTGAAGTCCACACCTCATGAAAGCGCCATAGTTCCCCACAGCTCTGCTATATGCCTTTAAAGAAAACTATATTTCATTTTTAGATGGTGTATTTTGAATTGTAAAAGTGACTATCTTTGAGGGCAGTTTTCCAGGCTGCCAAATACTTCCCAAAACATTATTTCCAAATACTTCCGACAGCTAAAATGCTTGCATTTTTAAAAGCTAATTTTAAAATGTGTGGTCCAATTTATAGGGTTTTACATCAGCCAATCAATTAAATTTGTACTTCAATTATTACATAGGCTGTCCAACTGCATAATCAGTGTTTTTTAACTAAAGCTATTCACATATTATTTATTTACATTCCACATCCTGCATTTGCATTTTTTTAAAAAAAACAATCTCCCTGAACACTAGAATGAGTAGAAATTACTTAATCAGCCAAAAAGTAGAAAAAATAGGGTGAAGTCTTCAATGGCCTTTACTCTAATGAGTCGGGAAGAATACAGGCAACTAAGAACAGACTCCCTCTCGTAATATACAGATGGTCCTTGACTTATGACCGTTTTTTAGCGACCGTTTGAAATTACAACAGCACTGAAAAAGCTACTTAAAACCAGTGCTTGCAGAAGCACGGTGGCTCCCGTGTTTAGGATGCTGGGTTGTAGGTTAGCAAGCCTGTGTTTGAGACCCGAGTGCTGCCATGGGGCGGGGTGAGCTCCTGTCCTTTGCTCCAGCTCCTGTCAGAGCATGACAGGATCTCCCAGCTGTCAATGGCTAATCCTTCCACCGGCCTCAGTGCTTCTAACAGGAGCACGATGCACAACCAGGGCTTGCACTCATGACCATCCCCACGGTCACATGATCACGATCCAAAGGCTTGGCAACCGGTTCGCATTTATGATGGTTGCAGCAACCAGGGTCACCTGATCGCATTTGTGACACACACACACACACAGCATGCTTCCAATAACCAAAGTCCATGGGAAAGCCAGCAGGGAAGGTCACATATAGCAATCATATGATATCTCGCTTAATTACCACATGATTTGCTTAACAACTGTATCAATAAGCTTATTAAAAATGGTGGCAGTCACGTGATTAATGATTGCACTGCTCAATGACAATTTTTCCAGTCCCAATTATGGTTGTAAGTCGAGGACTACCTGTAGCTCTAGCTAGCAGATATAAGATGCCAACAGGAAAGTATTTTTCCCTATACAAATTCTTCAAACGTGTATAAATGTATGTATTCAGCAGAATTCTTGAACAATCTGCTAATCTGTTTTGAAAATGCAGCTGTTAGTACATTTTGTAGAAGAATTCTAAAATTATAGGGTTTGAAGTGTCTTCAAACTCCCTGCCCAGAAGAGAGAGCCTCCTCATATCATTTATTTTATTTTTATTTACATCCCAACTTTATTATTTTTACAAATAACTCAAGGCAGTGAACAGAGCCAATGTACTTTCCTCCTCTTTTTACCGCAAACACAGCTGTGAGGTGTGTTTGGCTGAGAGAGAGTGACTGGCCCAAGGTCACCCAGATGGCATTCATGTCTAAAATGGGACTAGAACTCACAGTTGCCTGGTGATTGGCCCAAGGTCACCCAGATGGCATACATGGCCAAGGCAGGACTTGAACTCATGGTCTCCCACAGGTGCCTTAACAACTAGTCCAAATAGTTATCCAAATTTCGTTGGAAAACCTCCGGCAATGAAGCCCCTATACTTCCAGAAGTCAAGCTGTTCCATTGCTTTGTAACTCTTACGGTCAAGAAATTCCTCCTCATTTCAAGTTTGAGTCTCTTTAGGTATATAATGCTTTCGCCTATTGATTCTTGACCTACTCTTTAAATTAAACCCATACTTACTTTGGGACAGCTTTTTAAGCTTTGAAGACTGCTATCATGTCTCCCATTAGCCTTCTCATCGTCAAACCAAATATAGCCAATGCCTTGGTATTTTAGATGAAAGATTTAAAATTCCTGGTCAAAGTCGATGTAGGAGATGACCAGACAGAGCTCGGAGGCGAGGTCAAATGCGTAATCAGTTTGGAGTCACAACACAGTCACAAAGAGACTGAAGTCCAGTCCTCCTTAAATTCCATTGACTCTTATCTAGCGCTAATTTGCCTGGACCATTAGTAGACCAGATTTTTGTGTATAGGTAGCATGGAATAAACTTGAAGTACTTTGAACGCAACTCCTGTTCCTGATTACCTGTGCCTGACAGTTTGGCCACAAGCTATGAAAAGAAACCAGTTTGGTCACACTAAACAACAAACAATGGTTTGCCAAAAATTAGAAAACAAGATGCACAATTGGAATAAAGAAGGATTTTTCTGTTTTAAGTTCAGATTCTGGAATCCTAGCGTGGACCTCTCAACAAACACAACAAAATCTTTCTCCAAGTCTTATTACTTACCAGCTACATGAAAAATAAACCGAGTCTCCTTAAGTATAATAACTTGCTAGTTCTAATTCTGTTGGACAATGTTGCTGCTATTTCCATCATTGTTTAATGCATCTTGAATAAAATAATTAGCAAGTACACAACAATATGATGATGAGAAATTAACAAAAAGGCAAAGTTATTAAAAGCACTGGTAGGCCTCGGCTTACAACCACAATTCAGCCCAAAATTTCTGTTGCTAAGCAAGACAGTTGTTAAGTGAATTTTGTCCCATTTTCCGATCGTTATTGCCACAGTTGTTAAGTGAATCACTACAGTTGTTAAGTTAGTAACACGGTTGCTAAGTGAACATGGCTTCTCCATTAACTTTTGCTTGTCAAAAGGTGACAAAAGATGACCACATGAGCCTGGGACACTTCAACTGTCATAAGTACATGCCAGTTGCTAAGAGTTTAAATTTTGATCACGTGACACAGGAATGCTGCAAGGGTCGTTACGTGTGAAAAATGTTCATAAGTCACTTTTTTTCAGCGCCGTTGAACGGTCACTAAATGAATGGCTGTAAATCGAGGACTTCCTGGACTATCATACTCCTAAAAACAAGGCTGAAGATAGGATGAAACAAGAGTGACAATTTGATTAGATCAGGGCTTTTCAACCTGTGGTACAGGTACCACCTGTGGTACATTGGCACCTGGCAGGTGGTATGTGACCATCCTAGAAAAGTGGCAGTGGGGGAGGGGAATGAGCTGGACCGGTGGCAGCACCGCACAAGCCTGAGCGAGAGATGGCTGGAGCTGCAGGGCTGTCAGGGCTCAGCGGAAGCGCCAGGATCAGTGCCAGTCTCCAGCTGGAGCTCAGCGCTGATCCTGGCGCTTCTGCTGAGCCCAGAAGAAGCGCCGATCAGCTGGAATGTTGCAGCATCTCCAGGGTCTTGTGATTTACATTCAGATGCTTGGCAACTGACTCATATTTATGACAGTCACAGTGTCCCGGGGTCATGTGAAGTGACCAAAACCTGCTGAAACCACCCAGCAGACGGGGGGGGGGGAAATAAAAATCAAACACCCCCCACCCCACCCCCACTGCCAATCCTCAACAGAAATGCCCACAATGAAAACCTCGGACAGGAGGAAGAGCGCCGCCAGGCGGGCAGTCAGGTGTCTTGCTCGGCTGTGGCTTGGGCGGCACTTTTTTCAGTGCCATTGTAACTTCAAACAGTCACTAAGTGAACTGTTGTAAGTCGAGGACTACCTGTACTTTATCACTTTTTTCCTTTTTTTGGAGGGGGGTCATCAAGTTTTTGACACCTTGCTAGGCGACTGGTGGTACTCGGATGTTGCCATATCCTAAAAGTGGTACAGTGGGTGAAAAGGTTGAAAAGCCCTGGATTAGATGTTATCTCATTGGCTTCATTGTATTTCTTACCAGTGCTGCCTTGTGTGGCGTCACACGGCTCAGGATTCAGCTGCTTAGTTTTGGGCTGAGTCACAGTTGGAAGAGTTCCATTGTCCATGGTGCTGGGACCCATCTGCCTGGATGGTTCCCCTGGAAGTGCAGCTTCTGCAGGAGGACTTTTCACCAACGATGGCAGCTCTGAGTCATTCAAGCTGTAAGAACCTGAAAGTGTTTTTCCGTCTCGAGATTCTTGTCCATCCTTCATGTTACCATCTAAAGCTGGTGAATAGGATCGTGCTGGCTTTGCTGGAAAAGATGGACTGTCCAAATAATTTCCCTCATTCTCACTGGCTTTAGTGGAGTTGGCATCTAGCAAGTTGAATTCCCCAAGTTCTTTGCCCTCGTGCAACTCAAGTTTTGGTGGACGTTCATTCTTACTTACACTGGAGGAGAACCTGACCTGCTTTAGTCTGTCCAGTGAGTTTTGAGAATAGTCTTCTCCTGTGGGAGGGCTCTTCTCTGCAACATCTTCAAGGATGGTGGAGGTTGGCAGCCCACTTTTGCTAGACGGTTCCAAGGTTTGACTGAGACGCAATACTTCAGAATCTGTGGAACTTGAACTTGAGCTTCGTTTGAGGATGCTCTTGGGCGGCCTTCCGTGGCTATTGACCTGCTTGATCCTTTTAGATGTTTTAGGTAAGGAATCTTTACTCTGCAAGCTGGCATCTGAGGCCTTGTGGACATTCTTCCTCGCTTTCGGTACAGGCAGTTTTCCCGTCGGCCTAAATTCTACAGAAGGTTGTTCCGATGCTTCTGCTCTGCTGTAGTTCGGTAAATTTACTCCGCATTGGTTTTCTACGGAAGGTGAATGAGAGAGAGAGAGAGATACACACATATAAAGAAAAGGTTATAAGCAAACTGCAGATAAGAACTGCTTAACAGTTTAGACCAGGGGTCTCCAAACCTGGTTACTTCAAAACTTGTCGACTTCAACTCCCAGAATTCCCTAGCCAGCCATGCATTATGATAGGTCTGAAAAAGAATTGATGCTAACCTGCTTATTAAATACTTTCTAAGGGTGCAAAGTCATATGGTTTAAGATTTAACTTTATTCTATAGGAATAGTAAAATCAGAATTACTTTTGTTATGTTATATAGCAGGGGTCTTCAAACTTGGCCCTTTTATGACTTGTGGACTTCAACTCCCAGAATTCCTCAGCCAAGCACATGTGCCTGGCTGAGGAATTCTGGGAGTTGAAGTTCACAAGTCATAAAAGGGCCAAGTTTGAAGAGCCCTGCTATATAGTAAAGAGAGAAGCAGTTATAAAGTGATGGTTTTAGTAAAGCGTACACCCAGCAAAATTACAGAAAAATAGCCCAAACTATTATTTATTTTGCAGGTGAACAATTCCACGTGTGACTTCTTCAATACAAGCCAAGTCCGTTTGTCCAAGTTTGCTGCATACTAAGGCTAGGCTTCGGATCAAGAAAAAAAAAAATCGGCTGAAGGTCAGAGTGAAAAAGATTTTTTTAAATATAGGAAACCCAAACTTATTTTAAGTAGCTTTTGCTTCTCGTGGCATGCTTGTAAAATATGGCTAATTGGCACATGGAGAGCCTGTTTGATATAGCGGTTAAGGCACCAGGCTAGAAACCAGAAGACCACGAGTTCTACTACTGCTTTAGGCCCAAAGCCAGATTAGTCACCTTGGAGAAGGTCCCTCTCTCTCAGCCCTGGGAAGGAGGGAATGGCAAACCACATCTGAAATCTTGCCAAGAAAACTGCAGGGACTAGTCCAGGGGTAGGCAACCTTGGCTCTTTTATGACTCGTGGACTTCAACTCCCAGAATTCCTGAGCCAGCCATGCTGAGGGGAAGGGAGAGGTTTCCAAGCTCAGCCAGGCTGGCTCAGGAATTCTGGGAGTTGAAGTCCACAAGTCATGAAGGGGCCACAGTTCCCCCATGCTGGCTCAGGAATTCTGGGAGTTGAAGTCCACGAGTCATAAAAGAGCCAAGGTTGCCTACCCCTGGACTAGTCTAAGCGGTTGCAGGAATCAACAAAGACAAGGGGGAGGGGGAGGAGGGGAGAGAAGGAGGAGGAAGAGGAGGAGGAGATGGATCCTACATCCAATATATGGATCAATGATTACTCTACTCCAACAATACTGTATAATCAACTCTTTGAAACAGTTCTGGTAAGTGTAATCTGGCTTCAACTTAACAATCATAACTGAACCTGGAATTATGGTTATAAGTTGTGCTGGTCACTGAGCGGGTCGTCCTGTCATTGCACCAGATTTAACAACCTTTTTTATGGCAGTGGTTTGGTGAATGCCCTGGGTGTTAATTGAATGTGAGGGTCATTAAGCAAATCCACAGGCATTTTTGCTGAAAACCAGAAGTAAATCAGTTTCCAGCACAATACGTTGTAAATTGCAATTATTTGCGAAGTGCTGATAAAAGGGCCCAAATGCAAAAACACTGAATAAACAAAAACACAGTCATATAATTGGTATGATTTTATAGAGACAGGAGGTGTTTTAATATCATTTTGTACTGCACAATTTCGCCCATTATATCCAAACCCCCCCATTCCACACATTACTTTTGCTAAATAACTTTGTAAAGTAGGACTTGCTAATATGATACCAAAATAGATTGTCAACATTTGTTTAAGGTTTTGATTATTCTATAGAAACTGTCCAGATTATTTTTTTTAAAAAAATCTTCACCTTCCTCTGTGGTTTCCGATGAATTAGCCATTCCATTTTCCGAGTACTCAGTTTTGGCATTATCTTCTGGTCCAGATGAGTCATTAAACGGATTTTTCCTTTGCTGGAATGGTTTAATTTATATGGTTTAAAAACATGGAAAGAAAGAACAATAGAGAAAATAAAGCCCTCCAAACGCTTTTGTATCTCAACTGCAATCACTGATCATTCTGGGTAAAGCTGATAAGTATTTTGGGTTTGACAATATCCCTGATTTAGAGAGAGAAAAGTTGCATTAACCAAGAATCACTGTTAATGCTTTTTAACTAAGACTTGCTTCCATTGAAGATGCTGTTTGTTATAATGGAAATTCGATGGAAGTTAATCTGGACTTCTATAACTGTCTGGTTTGGTACAGCTACCAAACAGGACAGATATAGACTTCAACTGGTAGTTAGAACCGCAGAAAAAGTGCTATTGCTATTGCTAAAGGACTGTTGCTTTCTCTGCTTCTTTTAAATATTCATTTAGGCATTTTACCTTCACTGGATACTAAGGATAACTCACCTTAGATGGTGAAAGAGCTGACTTCCTTGTTCCTTCCTGGGGTTTCTGTAATGTATTGGACATTTTAGGACTGAAGAAAAAGAGATAAGAAAAGAAATTTAGATCTTGTCCTTGTCACCCATCTAAACAGGCTTAAGTGCCAGGACTTTTAATTAAGGAAACCGAGGTACAGATAGTCCTTGACTTATAATCGTTCATTTAGTGACCGTTCAAAGTGACAATGGCACTGAATATTTTATGGCTGTTTTTCACATTCATGACCATGTCCATGGTCATATGATCAAAATTCTGATGCTTTGCAATTTACATAACAACAACAACAACAACAATAATAGAGTTGGAAGGGATCTTGGAGGTCTTCTAGTCCAACCCCCTGCTCAGGCAGGAAAGCCTATACCATTTCAGACAAATAGTTGTCCAGTCTTTTCTTTAAAACGTCCAGTGTTGGAGCTTTCAAAACTTCTGGAGGCAGGTTGTTCCACTGATTAATTGTTCTAACTGTCAGGAAATTTCTCCTTAGTTCTAGGTTGACTCATATTTATGACGGTTGCAGTGTCCCGGGGTCATGTGACCCCCCTTTTGCGACCTTCTGACACACAAAGTCAGTGGGGAAGGCAGATTCACACAAAGCCAGGTGGGTGTCAGGCAGAAGGAATCGGGATCACACATTAAGTTATAGTTCCAGGATTTACTGCTCAACCTGTATACACAAGAATCTAGTCAGTTAACAGTCAGTACGAAATTGGCGCCAGATAAGAATCAATGGAATTCAAGGGAGGCTGGACTTGTGGCGATGTAATGATGCCAGACTGATAACTCTCATAACTCCACCCCAGCTCTTCCTCTTCTTCTTCTACACTGAGTGATGTTGGGCCAGTCCCTCTCTCTCAGCCCTAGGAAGAAGGCAATGGCAAAACTTTTTTGAAAAACCTTGAAAACTGCAGGTACTCGCCCGGTAATCTCCTGGAGTCAACACTCATTCGAACACATAATAATAAAAAATAAAATAAAATAAAATAAAATAAAATAAAATAAAATAAAAAAATAATAAAATAAAATAAAATAAAATAAAATAAATAAAATAAAATAAAATAAAATAAAATAAAATAAAATAAAATAATAAAATAAAATAATAAAATAAAATAATAAAATAAAATAAAATAAAATAAAATAAATAAAATAAAATAAATAAAATAAAATAAAATAAAATAAAATAAAATAAAATAATAAAATAAAATAAAATAAAATAAAATAAAATAATAATAAAATAAGTATGTACAGGACAACACCTAATATCTTGAAGGTATTATGTGCCCACACAATGAAAGCAGACGTGGCTGCACAAAGAGAGCAGGAACCGAAAAACAAATGTTTAATAATCCAACTAAATGTATGCCAGCCTTAGGGATGACAAAAAGTGTCTCAGATGATCCATTCCTAAAAGAATTTCAATTATGTGGGCTTTTACTTTTCATGCTGTATCTTAAATACCTTTTACCTTAAGATTATTTTTCTCCTTCCACCCACAGAAAGACAAGTAAATATTACTTGAGGGAGAAGCACAGATCTTAAAATGATAACTCAGCCCTCACCTTAAACAAAAGTGGTGTGTACACACACACACACACACACACACACACACAGAGAGAGACAAAGAGAGACAGAGACAGAGAGACAGAGACATAATCCTGGGCACATTTATTTCTAGTTTGGAATATCTGTAGGAGAAAATGCAGTGGAAAAATATCCTATATATATATATTTCATAAAAAAAGGAAGGAAGGAAGGAAGGAAGGAAGGAAGGAAGGAAAAACCTTATAACTGTTTTTCCACAGTTCAGGGGGGAGAAAGAAAGAAAGAAAGAAAGAAAGAAAGAAAGAAAGAAAGACCTTTCACTTGTAAACCCTTTTATAAAAATATTGTGGCTGCTACAGTTCTGGCTGCTGCTGCACTGCTGGTCAACTGTTGCTGCAGACACATGATTGTCATTTTCAATGTTCTGTGACGGTTTCCCAGCCAATCTGGCAATTCTCCGCTCCCTCCTCACCCAGCAGTAGCCACTTATCTGCAAGTTTCCCACAAGGTAACTCAATGGGGAAGCCGGCAGGAAGTCAAAAGTCACTGCAAGTCCTACTGCTTTTTTGCTCTCCCATGGTCATTCTGTTTATTGGTTTAACTAAGGAAATATTTCTGAAATGATAACCCAGTGGGGCACGGGTTATCTAATACCCATTAGTCTGAAAATGTTACAATTTTCTGTAGAATTCTAAAGGGTAAATCATTTTGATTGTGTAATGAACAAGGGGTAGGACTAAGGGAAACACAGATTCCAATCATGGAGACTTTAGGTCCAGTTACTCTGTCAGCCCAATCTATCTTCTATGGTGGTAAGTGGTGACTAGCTATTCCATCTTTCCTCCAAGAAATTCAGGTGGTCCTTGACTTACAACAATTTGTTTAGTGACCATTCAAGCTTACAACAGCACTGCAAAAAGTGACTTATGACCGTTTTCTACATTTACAGCCCCAGCATCATCCCCATGATCAGATGATCAAAATTCAGACACTTGGCAATTGACTCATATTTATGACGGTTGCAGTGTCCCAGAGTCATGTGATCATCTTTTGCGATCTTCTGACAAGCAAAGTCAATGGGGGAAGCCAGATTCACTTAACAACTGTGTTACTAACTTAACAATTGCAGTGATTCACTTAACAAATGTGGCATAACTCACTTAACCACTGTCTCGCTTAGTGACAGAAATTTGGGGCTAAATTCTGGTCGTAAGTCAAGGATTACCTATACAGGATCTTCTCTTGCTTTTTCCCCTCATAAATCAGGGAAGTAGGCTAGACTGAAAGAAACTGCCCAGGATTCCACTTCTGAGTAGAAATTCAAACCTGGGTTAATGTAGGAGATGACCAGGCTGAAGATGGGGTCAAATGCATCATCACTTTGGAATCGCTAAGCCAGGGGTCTTCAAACCTGGCCCTTTTATGACTTGTGGACTTCAACTCCCAGAATTCCTTAGCCAGGCACGCTGGCTGAGGAATTCTGGGAGCTGAAGTCCACAAGTCATAAAAGGGTCAAGTTTGAAGACCCCTGCTCTAAGCTCATGTAGGAGACTTAAGTCCGCCCCCTGCCCTTTGAACTCTTACCTGGTGCCAATTCGCCTTGACCATTAGTAATTCAGATTCTTGTGTCTAGGTATCCCAAAGTGCTTTTTCACGAGGCAACTGGACTTTCTTGTTTTTCCTTTGAAGACGTTTTGCTTCTCATCCAAGAAGACTCTTCAGCTCTGACTGGATGGTGGGGAATGGAAGGAGCTGCAGAATCTTCTTGGATGAGCAGCGAAACGTCTTCAAAGGAAAAACAAGAAAGTCCAGTTGCCTCATGAAAAAGCATCTTTGGGACAACCATGACCTGGATGACTGAGAATCTCCGGAGACCTTGTGTATAGGTAGCATGAAATAAAACTTGTAGTACGTGTGAACTCTACCCTGGTTCCTGACTTCTTGCACCTGGCAGTCAAATAAAGCCATTACAGAACCTGACAGGACCGGATGCACTTGTAACGAAGCTTATTATGGAACGAAATTAAAGCATAAATAAAACACGGGTTCCCCAATGAAATAAATTCTGAGCAGGGGGAGACTATGGCAGCAGTGGTGGGATTCAAATATGTGAACAAGCGGTTTTCTGTGTGGATGCCACTTCCAGAAGTCCATTCTGGGCCTGGGCAACAAAAAATTAGCTACCGGTTCTGCCGAAGTGTTACGAACCGGCTGAATCCCCCCACTGTATGGCAGGTAATTTTCTAAACAAGTTTATATCTGATCTTATACAGACAATCCGCAAATGTCAGGAGATGTCTAACCTGTGGTTAGATTTGGACTCCTCTTCCTTATCTTGTATGACACCCAACTGTTCTGGTGACACAAAGTTCTCTTTGTTGACATTGTTCACCCAGCTGCTTTTGGCATTGCCCAACTTACTCTGACTCAGCTCAGCTAAAATATAAGAGAGAGACAGAAAACGGGAGAAAATTAGCTTCTGTTTATGTCTGCTCATACATACAGAGTAGCCAAGGTACACTTTGAACCTGCACGTTTTAACGACACCTTCTTTACTGATCAACACGAAAGATGAAACAGGAACATCACTATTGTTTATTACTGTCAATGCATTCGAGATTCTACAATCCTAACTGACGCTTCAGTAATTTTATTCTATCCTATTGTTAAGAAAGGCATCATTTTTAAAATATGAAATGCTTTACAAACTCGCAGCACTTTTCAAAACCTTGGGAAAAAGCCCACAATAATGACCTGTAAAAGTTTGCTATACAGGTAGTCCTTATCGTACGACTCTTCGTTTGGCGATGGTTTGAAGTTACAACAGCACTGGAAAAAGTGATACAACCTATCCGTGCACCATCGGGGCATTTCCAGTCATGTGATCAAAATTCAGGTGCAGGTATCCAAGATGGCTGCAGCATCCTGAGGTCACATGATCGCCATCTGGAACCTTCCTAGCAGGTTTCTGACAAGCAAAGTCAATGGGGAAGCTGGCGGGAGATTGCAAATCACAGTCGCTTGATGGCTCGCTTAACGACCTCAGCAAAAAGGCTATATAATCAGGTTCATGCGAGGCCTCACTTAGTGACCACTCTGCTTAACGACAAACTCTCTGGTCCCAATTTTGGTCATAATTTGAGGACTACCCGTTTAAGATAAATTAGTTTTCTGCAGATACCCAGTTATTTCTTGAACAAGATGGAGTGTGGATAAGTCATCTAAGCATTTTCAATGAGGGAGAGAGTCTTCATTTAATATATTGACTTCCACTGATTCTGGGTTGCTTGGAGAGTGAGTGGCCAGGTAGGTAGATAGGCAGGCAGGTCGGTAGAGAGGCAGGCAGACAGTTAGATAAGCAAGCAAGCAGGTAGGCAGACAGGTGGGTAGGTAGATAGGCTGGCAGGTAGTTAGGTAGAGAGGCAGGAAGGTAGGCAGTTAGATAAGCAAGCACGCAGGTAGGCAGACAGGTGGGTAGGTAGATAGGCTGGCAGGCAGGTAAGTAGAGAGGCAGGAAGGTAGTAGAGAGGCAGGAAGGTAGGTAGAGAGGCAGGAAGGTAGGCAGTTAGATAAGCAAGCAAGCAGGTAGGCAGACAGGTAGATAAGCTGGCAGGCAGGTAGAGGCGCAGGAAGGTAGTAGAGAGGCAGGTAGGCAAACAGACAAACAGGTAGTGGGTAGATAAATGGGTGGCTGGGTCAATAGATAGGTACCTAGTAAATAGGTAGGCAAGTAGATAAATAAGCAGGCAGGCAGGCAGGCAGACAGACAGACAGATAGATAGGCAGGAAGGTAGGCAGGCAGGCAGACAGGCAGGTAGATAGGTAGCTTCTCCAGTTAGGGAGAACCACTGATTGTGCTGGCTTGGAATTCAGTTCAAACATGGGAGTTGAGGTCCCAAACATTTAGAAGGCTGAAGGCTGGAGGAAAACTGACTTGAATCCAGACCATTGAAAGCCCTTCCTCATTTTAACCATAACACAGTGTGTTCTTGATGGAAGATCTGCCAAAACAAACATTTTTCCTTCTTCAAAAAGCCATGTTTCTTTTTTCTTTTTTTTTCAAACTGACATACCTGTTGTCAAGGGCTTCCTTCTTATTGATGCTCGGATAATATCAGCTCCCTGTATTTTCTCTCTGTGCCTCTTTGACTTGGCTTCATAAAACCACTGCCCACTCATATTCTTGACCTGGGCATCGTTCTTTACTTTTTCAGGTAAATCCCTAGAAAAGTAATGAAAAATATGGTGGTTATTATATTGGGGTTGTGGGGAACCAAGAAAAGCTTAACTGTAATTCAGTAGAACTAGAGAATGAATGGAATGAATTGAATGAATGAATGAATGAATAACTCTGGAACCAAGTCGTATGTACCTTCTGAGCGGGGTCCGTCGTAACTTTGAACAGTCGCTAACCGACCGATCATTGAGGACTAATCTGTATACAGTAGTGGCCAAACTTGTGGAAACCTTTTGGGAAAAGTGTATTTTTGAGGTTTGATGGCTAATAACACCACTTTTCTTTTGGAGTAGTACATAAAATTATATATCAATGGAAAGATCATTTAATCAGGAATGTAATGCAACATAGTTTGTTCAATTATCTGCACTGTATTCTATGAAAAGGTATAGCCAAATAGCCAGAAAAAGGAAGCACAACTTGCTTAGGTTGATATCGGGTAGCTTTCCTTCATCTGATTGTAGCCAATGAGCATGAGTGTTTAGAGAGCCAATCAGATGTCATCTTGTTTTGGCAATGAGCCAATCAGATCACAGTAGGATTCAGTTATTGATGTCATGTATTGAAGCTGAGAGGAGGACATTTGTCGGTGTGTTATGTGATCGCTATCCAGTTGGTTGGGGTTTTTTGTGTTCTTTCATTTAGTGAGTTTGTGAAACGTAATAAAATTAAAGTAATGGTGCAAAGAGTTGACTGGTTGCAGAGAAAGCGATGTAAAATAGTATTACTAAGTGAACAAGGCTACAGTTATAAAGAAATTAGAAGAAAAATTGGTGGAAACTTAACCAAAGGTGGCATTTCTACTGTACCCTTTTCCCAAAAGGTTTCCACAATTTTGGCCACTACTGTATTGCAACCAGAATAGAATAAGTCTGAGAGCAAACAAAAATATATATTTTAACTAATTTTCTAAGTATGTTTTAAGTTCCAGAGCATTCAAATATTTGCTCTTTTTTCTTTGCCAATCCAATAGGTTTCCATGAAGATATTGTTCAACTGGAATTGCCCAATACGTATCAATGGTATTTTTTTCTTTTTTAAACCACCTCCTCTGTCTTACCACAGTGTGATTCTTTCTACCTGCAGTTATGGAACACCCTCTGAATAAATATGACTGGTCATAAGACAAAAATTCCACCTGTTAACAGCAATGTCTATCTTTACGTGCCTCCTGTTAATCCTAATCTAAATCAGTTGTTAGAAGGAGTGGTGAAGAGGTCAATGATTTCTGAGAATTTACACCTCATTTGTGTTTGGACAACTTTTATTTGTTAGAATTCATACTTTCTGTCTGCCGTTGGTTAATTCCTTTTGAAAGGCAAAATAGTCTTAGCTATAAAGGCTTGTTTCTGACACGACTGGAATTGTATGGTTTAAGATTGGGGTACTATTGTGCTATAGTTGTTTTATTGTTAGTTACCCTTATTTATTCATGTTTTGTTGGTTTAATGTTCTGATTGCCGCTCAGACAAGCAATTGCATGATCGGAAGCTATATGAATCGAATAAAAGGAATGAATATGTTTCAGATCGTATACAAGTGGAAACAGGTATTTTACCAAAACTGACAACATGTATTTTTTCCAATTAATGGCCATATTAGCCGGAGATGATGAATCCGTTCTGATTGGCCCATCTCTAAAATCCTTAATGCACCCCAAAAATGCTCCCCACAAATGAACACCATATTGCAAAAAAAAATCCTGAAACAAGTGAACAGCCAACCAATTAGCTTTCATTAAATTTTATTTCAATATATGATTACTGTAGCGAGGTTATTCTATGCATGGAAAGACTTGACGCTAACCACTAGGGAGGAATGATTGTTGAAGTTGACAGATTTGGCTGAAATGGATAAATTGACTTCTTGGATTAGACAAAAAGCATTATCTACATTTATTACTAAACTAGCTGTACCCGGCCACGCGTTGCTGTGGCTCAGTCTGGTTAAATGGAAAAGAAAGAAAAGAGAAAGCGCACGTTTGTAATATGTTTAATTTCACAATGCTTGTGGGTATACAATATTTTTTGTTGTTCCATTGTCTGTGCAGATATAGAGATTGTCTGGTTTGCCGACTCTAGAACTCGCAACATATAATTGTCCATGTGAGAAGCAATCCGTGTCTAGATCTAAACCGCACAATTCTGTTTTTACCTGTCACAGGTGTGACATCTATATAATAGTAGGTATATAAAAACACACACGTATTCGAACGCAACGTCGTGTCAAAATTTCAAAGCAGTCGGTGAAGAACTTTCGGAGATTTAAGATTTTGAACAAACGAACATTTACATTTTTATTTATATAGATAGATGAACTGTTGTAAGTCAAGGGCTACCTGTACATAGGAAGCCCAATTAAGATCCCAAAACCACGATCAAAAGAGTGGCAAGTCACAAACCAAGAATACCTATTATAAAGCACTCTAGCATTTAGAGGCATTGTTAGAACATGGTTTGATGGCTAAATTTCTCCTTTCCTCTTTCAGGGCAGAAGGAGCCAAGTAGAAATTTAAAACTCTGGCACACATCACAGACTGATCCAATAAGCAGCAGAATTAAGATCTCCTGACTTGTATATTACAGATCACTTGGCCACAGGAATTCTCCTTCACCAGTTCTTCAGACGGGGAAAACAAGCTCTCCGTCTCTAACCCTTCTACTAGCCACCTGATAACCCCTGTAACTTCTCATACACGAAGATTTAGGCAGTGGTTCTCAACCTGTGGGTCGGGACCCCATTTGGGGTCGATCGACCATTTCATGGGGGTCGCCAAGCAAGGCTGTCCGCCATTTTTTTTGTCTGCCATTTTTTCCCCTTTTCCGGTGGGTGCCTTACCTCCCTTGGGCTGGGCCAGCTGGTGGTCGGCCTGCTCCGTCTCTGCCGCTTCCCAGCTACGCCTCGGCCGGCGCAGGGGGCGGAACCACGCATGCGCGGCGCTCCCAGGCAGGGAAAGTCCTCAACTTACGACCGGTTGGATAGTTCTCGACTTACGACCGGTTTAGTCCTCGACTTATGACCGGTTTAGTCCTTGACTTACGACCGGTTTAGTCCTCGACTTATGACCGGTTGGGGTCGCGGCATTAAAAAGGTTGAGAACCACTGATTTAGAGCTTATTTTTACCCTTGCCTTCCTAAAGAGGAGGAACCCAGCCCAGCTGAGTAATACAATAAGCAAACAGAGGAGTTGACTTCCCTCTCCTTTGCATCCTGCTTAAAGATAAAGTAAAGGTTTCCCGGTCCAGCTGTGCCCAACTCTAAGGGGTGGTGCTCATGCCTGTTTCCTAGCTAAGGGAGCCAGCGTTGTCCAAAGAAACTTCCATGGTCATGTGGCCAGGATGGCTATATGCCGAGGCTCACGGAACACTATGATCTTCCCACCAAAGTGGTACCTATTGGTCTACTTGCACCTGCATGCTTTCAAACTGCTAGCTGGACAGGAGCTGGGGCACCCCATCACATGGCACTCGGGTTTCAAATCCAGGCTGTCAGTTTTCCAGCTGACAAGCTCAGGGTCTTTAACCGCTGAGTTAGCCTGCTTAGGAAGAAACAGTAATGTCCAATCTACAAAATGCCACAAGGCCTTGCTCAGTGAGCAGATAGATGGCTTTAAAATTAGATAGATAGATAGATAGATAGATAGATAGATAGATAGAGAGAGAGAGAGAGAGAGAGAGAGAGAGAGAGAGAGAGAGAGGGAGGGGAGAGAGAGAGAGAGAGAGAGAGAGAGAGAGAGAGAGAGAGAGAGAGAGAGAGAGAGAGAGAGAGAGAGAGAGAGGAGGGAGGGAGGGAGGGAGGGAGGGAGAAAGGAAGGAAGGAAGGAAGGAAGGAAGGAAAAAAGAAAGAAAGAAAGAAAGAAAGAAAGAAAGAAAGAAAGAAAGAAAGAAAGAAAGAAAGAAAGAAAGAAAGAAAGAAAAAGAAAAATGGGTGGGTAGGTAGGTAGAAAGATAGATGAATTGGTGCAGTGGTGGGATTCAAATATGTGAACAACCGGTTCTCTGTGTGGATACCACTTCCGGAAGTCCATTCTGGGCCTGGGCAACAAAACATTAGCTACCGGTTCTGCCGAAGTGGTGCGAACCAGCTGAATCCCACCACTAGATGGATGGATGGGTAGGTAAGTAGGTAGATAAGTAGATAGGTAGGTAGGTAGGCAGGTAGGTAGGTAGAATTACAGAGAGAGAGAGAGACAGACAGACAGACAGATCAGGTAATCCAAAATCATCCTTCCTTTTCTTGCAGAACATAACAAGCAGGTCTTCAGTTGTTTGCTGTGCTTCAGGGCAGAAACTGGAAGAAGTTGGTGACGTCCCTGTTTTTGCAAACGGTTACCTCTGCCACCTAGTCACAACTCTCTGGATAACCCCATTTGTAGCTGAGTCCACAAGGAGGACAAAGATAAGCACTAAAGGTATACCCACAGAATCTAGATTGAGAATTGTGCATCAACCAGATCATTGTTTTTTCTTCTCAGTTTACATGCTCAGATTAGCCGACATGCAGAGTTTAAAGCAGAAAAAGTAACACACACACACATACACACACACACACTTGCTATTCTAAAGGCTTCTGCCACAAAAGAAAACCTAGAACAAACAGCAGAGGGTGTTTTCCTGGTGTATACACAACCACAACACTTCACTTTCTCAGACTGCACGGTGCCAGTGGCTTGGTGGTAAGAGTCCAAAAGTGCCAGTTTATTTTTAACCTATCTTTAAACCCACTGGGTATCCGTATGCCGTTATTACACCCACAAACCAATAAGCATTCCAGACCTACTGGCTGAATTTACAAGTTTTTCCCTGTTTTCGTCAGCTCACTGAGCAGATTGGGACATCTTGCTAAAAGTTCATTAGATCTTGCGCAAGGGCTAAAATGTAGTTAGCTGTGTGGCTCTTAATTCACCTCTCAGCAAAAAAAAGGTCCTAAGAATGGAATGCAGACAAATGCCACGGGCCAGATTAGATCTCAAGCAAGGAAAGTCTAAAACCACAAACCAAAAAAAATAACAACCAAGAAGATACGTCATAGACTTTGGCTGGAGACAAAACTTTCATAGAATCCGTGTTCTCCATTAGAGGTTCTCTAGAACAGAGGTGTCAAACTCAATTTCATTGAGGGTCGCATCAGCATTATGGTTGTCCTCGGGGGGGGGGCGAGGGGGCGGCCTACTGGGTGGGTGTGGATGGAGTGGGTGTGGCCTAATGGGTGGGCATGGCCAGCTCTACATCGTTCGCGTCAAGGGGGCCTGTGGGGGCCTGGGCAGGAGTGGGACAGATCTGAGGGTCTCTGGCAGAAGGGGGTGGGACCGGGGCAAGCGCCAAGGCATGGTCCAATTTTCATTCCTCACAAGGGTGACATTTCCCCAGCATGCACACGGGGCGGGGCCGACGCGGCAGGGGCTGGTTCCTCACTGTTTCTAGATGGCCTTGTGGAGCTAAGACTGAATGCATTTCAGCATAAATGGCCACCATAAAATTGTACATTGGCTCCCGGCCGGCCTGGGCCAGGGCCAAGGCAGCGGGGGCCGTTCCCTCACTGTTTCCAGGATGGCTTCGCGGGCCACACGAAACCACTTCGTGGGCCGCATTCAGCCCCCGGGCCTTGTGTTTGACATGTCTGTTCTAGAACATGGATTCTCAATCTTGGCAACTTTTAAGATGCGTGGATTTCAACTCCCAGAATTCTCTAGCCAGCCATGCTGGCTGGGGAATTCTGGGAGTTGAAGTCCACGCATCTTAAAGTTGCCAATGTCGGACACCTCTGTTCTAAAATGTCCTATTATAAAAAACTGGTCAAAAAAGGGCAGGTTTTTTTCAGAAACAGTTGTCAAACTTGAACTCTGCAAGAAGATCAAATTATCTCCATTTCTTTCTTGCAGTTAAAATAAATGAATTTTAATATTCTTGGGGTTTAAGCAATGTTTCCTTTTTGTTTTTATTTTGGTAGGCTTTATGTATTTTCACTACTAAGTAAAAATCAAAGGAATCTTTAGTACAGTCATAAATGAGTCTGTTGTTGACTATTATTCCTCAATGTATAGGTCACAACAGGCAAAGAAAACATCCATAAATCATTTCAATAAAATCACATTTAATATATGCACTGATAATTTCCATGCTGCTTTTTTTTGCAGTCACATCTTAAATTGATTGACTTTTTTTAAAAAAAAATAGCTAGTAAAACACAGTAACAGAAATGAAGTGGAAACAATGTAAAAAAAATCATAATAATTGAAGAATGCAGAGAGGAAGAAAAAAAAGAGATGCGGGTAGTCCTTGATTTACGTCCACTCTGCAAAAAAAGGATGTAAATTGAGTCAGTTACATGGGTGACTCAATAGACAACCATCATGACTTACAAGCCGTGATGGACAAGCTCCATTATGGTCATAAGCTGAGGACTATGTATGTTATTCTTCTGTAATGTTCAGACAAGGAGTCTATGGAGATTCTCCATCATCTAGGTCAGGGGTAGGCAACCTCGGCTCTTTTATGACTCATGGACTTCAACTCCTGACTCAGGAATTCTGGGAGTTAACATGCAACCTAACCAGAGTAAAAAAAAAACACCTTCCCGTTCAAATTACTAAAATAAAACAATCAACAATCAATCTGAACCTCAGGGTTCAAATGCTTGTGACGGCTTCCAGGTCCTTAATGCCTTGCAAGAGGGTCAACTATACAAATCTCCATGGGCATGGTCTTCCCCAGGGAGGGCACAGGGACTAAAAAGAGAAATATTTGCACTGTGCCCCTCCAGGTCTAACTATTTAAAAGACTGGAATAAAACAAGTAAACAAAACCCAAACCCTCTTCATAAATGGTGATGAATCCAGCAATTCTGAGCAAAGGTAGCGGTTGAGCAATCTCTATCCATTCAAGCCCTCGACCAGAATAATAGAGTTGGGAGGGACTTCTAGTCCAGCCTGGTCTTCTAGCCTGGTCTTCTAGTCCAGCCTGCTGCCGAACAGACAAATGGCTGTCCAATCTCTTCTTAAAAACCTCCAGTGTTGGAGCACCCACAACTTCTGGAGGCAAGTCGTTCCACTGATTAATTGTTCTAACTGTCAGGAAATTTCTTATTTCTAGGTTGGTTCTCTCGATTGGTTTCCATCCATCACTTCTTGTCCTGCCCTCAGGTGCTTTGGAGAATAGCTTGACCCCCTCTTCTTTGTGGCAGCCCCTTAGATACTGGAAGACTGCTATCATATCACCCCTAGTCCTTCTTTTCATTAAACTAGACCAGGGGTAGGCAACCTTGGCTCTTTTATGACTCAGGCACGCTGGCTGAGGAATTCTGGGAGTTGAAGTCCACAAGTCATAAAAGGGCCGAGGTTGCCTACCCCTGAACTAGACATACCCAATTCCAAGCCAGCTTGGCCTGCAGTGTGGAATTATCTGAGACCCTTACCTGATTCTCTCCTCTTCAATCTTCTTTAAGTCTGCATCCCGCTGCAACACTTTCAAAATTGACTCCTGCTCTTCATCCGTAAGGAAACTCAAGTCGATCATCTTGTCGGTTTAGCGCCAAGAAGAAAAAGCAGTCTAAAAATCTTCACCGGCAAGGCCAGCGCTTGTAGGTCTATGAAGGAGAAGGGCCACCACAGCAAATGCAACTTTTAAAAAAAAAAATATCTAAATTCTGTTGCGGCGTTTGAGCAAGCTATACCTCGATAGCCAAGAGTCTCTTAAGAGGACTTTGTATTCCTGGATGGTGTTCATCATACAGATGTTATGTGATAGGTGTTTATATCAAGAAGGTCTTCATCTGCAGGACGAGAAGAAGAGAAATATTCAATACTATTAGAAGAAAACATGGGGACGACAGAGATCAGATTGATATGGTAAGATTCTGTTATCACAACATTACAAACTGAACAAAGTGCAGTTTATTACAATCAATAATCAGTACAAAAAAGGGAGAAATACAGAAAAATATGTATCTACACATGGGAAAATGTGTATATAGGGGAGGGGTCCTTGGTGCTCTCTGAGCTTGGCTGTTTTCTTGCAGACTTTTCATTACCCAAACTAGGTAATGTCATCAGTGCTAACACTGCTAGCACTAGCGCTGATGATGTTACCTAGTATGGTAATGATACGTCTGCAAGAAAACAACCAAGCTCAGAGAGCACCAAGGATCCCTCATTTCAACTCTGAGCTACAAATATTCTTCTTTATTGGAATATATAGGTAAATTCCAGATAGCATAAAAATTATAAACATAAAAATCTATAAAACCGTTGAGCCGATCTAATTTAATGAAACCTATAAATTATCTATAAAACTTTATTTGCTTTATTTGAAACTTTACAGCCTATCGATCAGTAAGATATAAAAATATCAGTAAAAAAAATGAAATGGCGGAAGTACTGTAGATGACCTTAGGGCAGGGGTAGGCAACCTTGGCTCTTTTATGATTCGTGGACTTCAACTCCCAGAATTCCTGAGCCACCATGGCTCAGCTTGGAAATTTCTCCCTTTCCTCTCAGCATGGCTGGCTCAGGAATTCTGGGAGTTGAAGTCCACGAGTCACAAAAGAGCCAAGGTTGCTTACCCCTGCCTTAGGGTATACAATATTAAAGCAGGATGAATTGTAAATGTTCGCCTTGCTATGATTCATACTAAAATTTTTTTCATCCATGAGGTATTGACGCTTTTGTAGGATTTGAGAGCAAAATCTCACAATTTATGACAAAATATTAGAAGATACATCCTTCAGCAATCAGCGAATATGAAATTATTTCAAAGAAGAAAAACTCTGAAGCACCCACTCTTTTCAAATCTCAGCTAGTATGTACATTTTCAATATCACCATTAAGAAGAAAGAACCGTCACCTCAAACACGAACAAAGTAAAGATGACAAGTCAGCTCTTACAGATCACAGGCTACTTCATGAGATCCAAGTGTCTGAAAAAGTAGATTGTCATCCATGAAAATTCTTTGAATTGCCACAACAGTAAAGATTCTTTACTGTTTATGCTACAATCCCTTAATAACGTTCATCCGCTGGAAAAAAATATCTTTTGGTTGCAACCACGAAGACATACAGTATAGACTTGCATATCCTTTATTCTGCGTTGAGTGTAAGAGTATCAGAAGCCTGGTATCATTTATAAATAAACACATCACAGAACTTCTATTGTGAGCTTCCCCGTGTCACATACCACATCCTTGGGGACTTCCGCAATGCTAACAGCATATATAGCTCAGCTAGCAAGTACACTTTTAGCAAAGCCCTGTAAGGGAAAAGCCATTCCACTGATTAATTGTTCTCACAGTCAAGAGAACAGTCAGGAAAATGCAGAATGTGTCCCAAATTCCAATTTCCTTAGGGTTAATAGAGATTTTTTTTGATTCATTGATTGACTGATTGATTCTCCATTTCCTTCTACTTTTTTTGGTAGTTCGATTATGCTTAGCAGTTTGATTATGTGCCATCAAATCAGCATTCATGCCTGGTGACCCACAGTTTTTGTTCACAATAACCTGTCCCCCAAGCTGGCTCTTTAGGTATTCCAAAGGTGAATAAGGATCTCCAAAGCACCTGAAGGCAGGACATGAAGGAATGGATAGAAACTAATCAAGGAGAGAAGCAACCTGGAAATATGGAGGGATTTCCTGACAGAGAGAACAATTCCATCAATAAAATGGCTTCCTCCAGAAGTTGTGGATGCTCCATCACTGGAGGTTTCAAGAAGAGCTTGAATACTTGGGACAGCCATTTGTCCAAAATGGTATGGGGTTGGACTGGAAGACCTCCAAATACCTCTTCTGTTATTCTGTTACTATTAAATAAACACCAAGGTCACTCTAGTCAACTCATTATTTTGTTACAGCAGTATTTGGCTCCAAATTGGTTTGGATATGCCCAATTAGTGCTCAAGTTACCCCCATCTATCTTGGAATTTTAAATACATTAACTTCCACAGCCCACTAATTAAAGCTGAATGTTTCTGCTCTCTGTAAATAATATTTTATATTGGAAAGAATGGCAGGAAACGGATTGGCTGTTGATCAAGTCAGTGTAGATAAGGCGTAAGAGGAGGCAGGAAACCACGAGATTCTGGTCAACTGACACCCCTAAGATGGACTAATGGCTGAATAACAGTCTAAGAAACCTTCCTTTGTTTATAAAGTATTAATATGTTGCAGGATCCAATCTGGGTCGTTCTGGGTCATTAACATATATTAATATGTTTCCTGCCAATGTTTGAAATCCCAACTTATTTTCCATTATTTTGGAAGCATTGAACTGCAACTAGTCCTTGATTTACAGTCCCAACTGAGCCCAATACCAAGCAAGACAGTTGTTAAGTGAGTTTTGCCCCATTTTACGACCTTTCTTGCCACAATTGTTAAATGAATCTGGTTTCCCCGTCGACTTTGCTTATCAGAAGGTCACAAAAGGGGGTCACCTGAACCCGGGACACCGCAACCGTCATAAATATAAGTCCGTTGCCAGACGTCTGAATTTTGATGACGTGACTGTGGGGATACTGCAACAGTCTTGTGAAAATGGGTCATAAGTGTTAGCCCTTTAAATGTGTGGCCCCTAACCCACAATTCCCAGCAGTGACCCAGAGGAATTCTGGGAGCTGAAGTCCACAAGTCTTAAAGTTGTCAAGGTTGCAGACCCCTGGGCTAGACCAACATCAAACAAATGATCTATGATTTAGCACAATCTTCCCCAATGTGTTAGCCCTTTAAACGTGTGGCCCCTAACCCACAATTCCCAGCAGTGACCCAGAGGAATTCTGGGAGTTGAAGTCCATATCCTGGGTGGCCAGGTTACAGAAAAGCAACATCTCTTTTTAAAAAGTTATATATTTAAAATTATATACCCATGCAAAATAAGCTTGTAGCACTTTATTATGATGTCAACTTTCATGGACTTATTTTTGGAGCATAAAAAAAGGGAACTTTTACTAACCTTCTCAGTTTTAGGGGTTTTAAAATTGTTTTTAAAATCTAGACAGTTGAGTAATCAGACCATTGTGGGCAATTTATCCAGCCTCAAAAATACATTATGGTCTAGAATACATCTGTGTGCTTTACTGGCATATAATTAGGGCTTTGAATATAAATCTGACGAACACAGAGAAAACTAAATTACAGTTGGTGAACATGTTAAATTTGGTCTACAATATTGGTCTGCAATATTTTTTTCCCAGTGTTCTTAGATATTACAGTTCAAAACTTGGAACTTTTTGATTTACAGTCTTCTAAATTATGGCCCACAGAAAATGGCTTATATATAACCTTTTTTAAAAAAAAAATTAACTTAGATGTTGGCAATCTCAGATTAAAACTTTCACACATACTAAATCTACATTTATTTTTTTTATATATGTCACATTTATAAGTCACCAACCCGTGTATGAATCCTAGCACTTATTTTTAATTAACTAACAACTGTTTGTAGCATCTCAGTCACACAATCACATTTTACACCGATTTTGCTGAAAATCAGCATTCGCGTCTGGTTTTTAGCAAAACCACATCCACAGTGAACTATTGGTTTAATTAACAGCCACGGCAATCACTTAATGACTGTGGTGATTACTTAACAACTTCTGTAAAAAAAGGCTAATGAAATTGGTCCTTTTATGACCATCACAACTTATAGCCATTACGGTTGTAAGTTGAGGACTAAATGTATATTCCAATCAGAATTCCAGATATGGAGAGCTCTACTATCAACCTGGTTACAACATCTGCCTCTTCCCAGATGTTCAAGGTTTTCTGGAAAGCTAACAAAATTGCAAAGCAGTGGTGTTATATGGGCCTACTGGAGAACAACTAATTCCCATAGCACTGTCTTATACCATGGGATATCAAACCACATAGCAGGGCTGTATTACTGTTAACCTTCTCATCTTTCCTATTACACATTCCTTTAGCATCTTTTGACTATCACTTTGTTGTTTGTATCATATGATTCATGTTGACTGTATTTTATGATTATGATCATGATTTATCACTTGTTGCTTGTATATACACTGGGAGCTTATGCACTAGAGACAAATTCCTTGTGTGTCCAATCACACTTGGCCAATAAAGAATTCTATTCTATTCTATTCTATTCTATTCTATTCTATTCTATTCTATTCTATTCTATTCTATTCTATTCCATTCCATTCCTATCACCTGGACTGCAAGGCGATCAAACCGGTCAGTCCTAGAGGAGATCAACCCTGATTGCTCTTTAAAAGGTTAGATCCTGAAGTTGAAACTCAAATACTTTGGCCACCTAATGAAAAGGAAGGACTCACTGGAGAAGAGCCTAATGCTAGGAAAGATTGAGGGCAATAGAAGAAGGGGACGACAGGGAATGGGGTGGCTGGATGGAGTCACTGAAGCAGTAGGCGTGAGCTTAAATGGACTCCAGAAGATGGTAGAGGGCAGGAAGGCCTGGAGGAACGTTGTCCATGGGGTCGCGATGGGTCGGACACGACTTCGCAAACAGCAACAAATTCCTATTCCTATTCCTATTCCATCCCATCCCATCCCATCCTACCCCACCCCACCCCACCCCACCCCATCCCCACTCCATTCCATTCTAGTTCATGCTGAATCTTAGGAAGAGTTTCTTAAGATCTTGCAATATTGTTAGACTCCAATCCAGTTTATAAACTCTTGGACTGGATGGCAGGCAAACCTTGTAGGTCAAAAAACATACAGGTAGTTCTCGACTTACATCCATTCATTTAGCAACATCTCTTGGTCTCCTGTTCAAATGTACTCCTGAAAAATTCTTTTAT